GAGAAAATTGACGGTCTTAGCGCAGTACCCTGGACAAAACCACTTTGTATAGGTCTAGGGGAGGAGTAGCAATTACTGAATTTTACTACTTGGAAGCGACCCTCTAAAGATGTTCTGAGCCAGGACAGTAACGGGTCTTGGAAACCATATGATTGCAACTTAGTGACCAGGCGTTTGTGAGGCACCTTATCGAATGCTTGCTTGAAGTCTAAGAAAAGGGTAGTTACAAATAGGCCTTGGTCACGCTTGCTTGTAACGTTGTCTAGATAGTCAAGATAGCTTGTAGCACGTGACCGGCCTTTCAAGAATCCATGTTGTGCTGGTGAGAGTAATTGGTTTGTCGTCATATAGTCGACAACTGCTTTCACAATCACCTTTTCCATAGTCCTGGATACTACTGACGTGATGTTTATAGGTCGGTAGTTTTCTATATTAGATGTTGGTCCACATTTATGCTTAGGACATATGTATGATAGTTTCCAGTTCTCAGGGTAATTGCCACTGGAGAGGGACGTATTAAAGAGCTTCAAGAGAATCAGCGGTATATCTTCGCCACCTCTTTTTAACAAGATGGTTGGAATTCCATCAGGCCCCGCACTGTATGAGGTTCGAAGTGATGCTATAGCTACAGAGATGTTTTCTTTAGCGAAGAGCACAGTACTTATAGGGTGAGTTGACGTTGGCGGTGCACCAGTGGCTTTAATTTCGTCCTCTTGTGTAATGCAGCTAGCAGACTGGCAACCGAACAGCCCGCTGATTTGTAGTGGGTCGTCGTAGAGGATGCCGTTGTCTATAAATAAACTAGGGGCATTATTTCTAGAGCTGCTTATCCAGGTTTTCATCCGTCTCACTAGTGCCTCTGTATTACTAGCTTTACAACATTGGATTCGTTCCTGTTAAAAAGCCTCCAGTACTACTTCTACCTTGAATGTGTCGTAGGTGTCTTTGAGTGTGACAAGCGATGAAAAGTTGTTCGGCTTATAACACTCCCTGGCATGGTTTTGCATGTGGTTGCGTACTTTCATAGGTACATAGTCAACTCTGCTTTTCTTAATTTCTCTTTGGTGCGGTGGAGCAATATAGTCTTGAGCTGTGCCTATATATTCATAGAATAGATCACAGAGTTCTTTGGCTAAACTGTTGGTAAAGTAGGGGCTCCAATCTAGGCATCGTAGAAACGATTGTAGTTCGTCCCTTTCGGCATACTTGCAGTCTCCAGTTAGTACTGTTCCTGACTTTCGGGCTAATTTTGTGCTGGATACGTTGAAGTGTCCACATACAACTTTGCGATCGCTACCTGGAAATTGTGCACCCACTTGGAGTTTTGTGGACGTGGTTCTGTTTGTGAAGACCAGGTCCAGGACACTAGTGTACCTGGTAGGGTGTTCCACATGTTGTTGCCAATCCTCTGTTTCAAGAATGCTTATGAATTTATCAAAGCTGTCTGGATAGCTGCCTGGTTGCCACGTTACATCCTGCCTGTTAAAGTCATCACATATAATTTTCGCTGTGTGTGGTAGTGTTGCCACACGGGCGAACACTCTTGTTAACTTGTCGTCGTATTCGACTGAAAAGGGAGGGGGCCGGTAAATGCATCCTATTAGGAGGGATGCGGAGCAAGTAAGTTCGGCTATAATCCATACTGAGTCGTAAATCTCGTTTAACTCAGATGTAGGGCACTGTGTAGCAGTGGTGTCGGACTTTACATAGATAATGCACCCTCCTCCCTTACCATGTAGTCTGTCCCTCCTGAACAAGGAATAGTTGTCCATGAAGATCTCTGAGCCACAAACATCAGAGGTACACCATATTTCCGTAGCCATTATCACGGACAGATCACATATCAGAGATAGCAGCAAAATCTCTTCCGTTCTTTTGCGTATAGAGCAGGCGTTAATCAAGAAAAACGAGAGCGAGTTAAGGGTACGAGTCAGCGCTTCCGTACATCTCTTGTGGGTCCTTTGCGTACATCGTGCTAGCGACGTCATGGCCTTTTGTACAGGGCGATGATTTGGTGCTGTTTACCTCGGAAGGAGCGAGGTATTCCCCACATTGTGATTGGTATGGAGACTGTTGGTCAGGGTAATGAGCAGATGATCCCATGGCATCCGAATCACCTGCATTACTGGTGGCGTTGCAGCCGTAGACTGCCCGAAAAAACCCTGTTCATAAGAAGTAACGGGGATTGATAAGTTGTATGGCACATCTATCAGCTGGTTGCCGTATGCATTATGGTCATAGCCAAATTCATATTCCCCAGGATTTTCTTTAGGGGATCTGTTGTAATTTTTTCCTTGTGTGGCGTATGACCCACTTTTTGCGGCGTATTGGTGGGCGGAAAGCATAGTCTGTGAATACCATTTGGCTCCCTATCCAATAACTGTGATCGTTGAGGGGTCCGGCCGTGATGTGTGTCTGCTAGTGATCGCGGAAGTGTTAACAAGTGTGGATCGCCTGGAGAGTAGTTATTTGACTTGGTCATAGGGTGACCTGAGAAACAACGTCTGGCATTTTCCCTAGTGTGACTTTGCGAGGGTGCAATGGTGTTTCGGCTATTCGTATTGCTTTTTCGTCTACTGTCCTGGCCGCTCAATTGCCTTCTCGGCAATTTATTTAACCTGGGTGGGTGCACAGTGGAGTTTGTATAAGAGTGACTAGTGCCATCTGTACTCTTCGTCATCTGCCCATTTGATGCATATAAGTTAAGCGTTGGCTGAAGTGGGGTAGATTGGACTGTTTACACGCTAGGTTTCGGGACAGTCCTATGGTAACAGGGTGCTTGTGGCTGGTGCCGGGTGTGTTTATAAGCTGAGTGACACCTGATGACGACATAGTAATGTCCTCAGTATTTTGTTGGGTCGATAGCGTAGCACTTGGTTTGGGGGTGACCTGTGTGATGGGTGAGATGGAGACTGGCTTTCCACTCCTGTAGGCAGTGAGATAACCTTTATGAGGTCGTGTGCCTGTTTTCGAGTGTAGTTCATCGATTTGTCCAAGCCTACCGTCGTGTCATCGGCTCTACTACGTCTGTGTATGAGTAGGCTAATTTGTGGGCTTTGGTGTTCCTCATTCTATTGTGTTGGTACGGTAACTGGCTCGCTAACAGATTGTGTTGCCGTTTTGGGTACCGAAGCTTGACTAGAATTTGCAGCTTTTAATATTTTTGTGCAAGCACGTCTTTGACAAGGTGTTAGGTCTTGAGAAACTTTGACACTTTTATATGGTGTGGATACACTAATAAGTTGCTTGGATGATAGGAAGTGTCTGGCTCGGTAAGAGCCACTAAATTTGAACGACAGAGGGCAGGTATATTTCCCCAACTTCTTGTGGAGACGGGTAACTTGGCATTCTGCAGAAGACATGTTACCAGCCTGCAGACATAGGGCTTTTACTTGTCTGATCAGTTCGTGGTCGGGAATGTTGTACACTAGTACATTGTGTGAGGACATAATCCTTTTATTAACCCCTGTAGCAATGAAACCTAGGACACTTTCTATTTTCAATAAGGTTTGAGTACTGGCTTCTAGATTAGGCTGACAAAGATGCAACAGTGGCAGAACAACTTCATGCTTAGCGTTCATGTCTTGTAATGACTTCTGGAGGGTGATCAAAATTTCCTTGTTTTTACGAGAAGTGTTATATAGCTCCGGTATGAGATAGACTACCTTAACTTCAGGACCTCTTTAAGGGCTTGATGTCGAACCACTTAGTGAACGTGCTCCTTTAGTTGAGGCTCTAGGGTTAGGTTTACGTGTATGTACAGCACACATACATTTGTTAAGCTGGACCATGGTGGAGCAGTAGTATTTACACGTTTATTAGGTTCGTCAATACCTAAGAACAAGTAAAATAACCAGCAGTCACAGAAGGTTTAGTAACGACTTACGTATCAAATATGACAGTTGTTGGCAAGTGTTTCTTTACACTTCAGGTAACATATATTGCGAAACTATTTTGTCTCGAAGCTAACAGTGTTGGTTCGTAACTCATCACTGAGTCCGTTAGAGTGGTATTATAATCACTTGTATCAACATCATACACGAATGATTGTTCTACATACGACTAAGGTCAACATTTGCTTTATTCACAACTATCTCTCTAAGGATCTCATGGTTGCAGGATGCGGAAAAGAAGTTGAGCAATAGTCCGTTTGGCTCACCACACTTCCAAACTTATTGTTTAGAAGGGACGATCTAACAACAACGATGGTTCGCTGACTCCTATTTAATTACTATTCTTTCTTATCAGATTAAATTTGAAAGGACTATCTTGTTATCAAAGGTTGATGTGAGATAATGCGAAGCAGTTAAGATGGATGATATCGAACACTTCCAGCAATACCTTGAAGATACTGGAATTCTCAGTGACTCGGGAAATTGTCCTAATTTAAACCCATGTGCAATAGAACAGTCTTATCCATGAAATTTGGTGCATCATAGAAAAAATCCTGAAATTATGAGTAAACTTAAAACGACTGCTTGCTTAAAAGGATGAGGTTCTATTTATTCAACAAGCTAACGCGCCTCCCTCCTTAGTATCTCGCTTTGTTCATGTTCAACCAAAAGGTCAATACTACGGTGCTTTCACCGAAAAAGACGTATGTCATATCACTCAGGTCGTTTCAGTTAACTAGTTGGACTTACAGACACGTAGCCATCCGCTGAACTCGGAAATAATCCCTTCAGTAACTTCATAGTGGCCTGAAATGTCCTACTGTCGCGTTCTCACACTCAGATACCAGTGCATAGACCTTGTTTACTGATCTTGATGGAGGTCGAAAGAATCTAGTTCCTGATTAGCTCTATAAAACTTGGAGTAAGATGGCACCCAGAATTAAGGTTGTTTCAGTGAAGGCTCACCCGAACGTTCATTACCCTCTTAATTATAATCTTCCACAAATGCAGCAAACATAGAACATGAGAGACTAACAGTTTCTCATCTACATACAACGTGCAAGTATTCAAGGTTAGTTGTCCCGTTCAATTTAACAGTGACCTTGAGAATCCAATGCAAAACTTTACGGGTAGCGTTGAGTGATACTTGTGTTTTGTCTTATGATAGTTCCTTGTATTTTCTAGCTGCAATCTATCTCTTTGCTATTTTGAAACCGTATGCCAAGTGCTTTCTTCGGTTTAGTCATCAATAATGAGGGTAGCCGGCCAACGTTCATTAGACTTTGGTTTTTGGATTTTCTTCTGGTGGCTTCAAAGGTAATTGCTCAGCAGGTGAAAAAAATAGGACGATTTAGTCACGAGATCATCATTAAGAGCCTGGAATGCCAATATTTTGTTTAAGTAACTCGTGCACTTAAAGCAACCTCACATATTACGTCGATCCATATGTTCCTTGAAGGCTGAATTAACTGTTTCAGTCATTTAATGAGCACCGAGTCTTCGAGTGTGCTGCGGTGCCTTAGCTCACGTCCTTAATGAAGGCCTGGCTGTTCGGGTGCAGTGCTTGATGTGGGGTTGTTGAAAACTAGGAAACCGTATCCAGGTTAGCAAACTGTTTGAGCTTCCAAGTTTAGGGTTAGTAGGTTGAGTAGCCTGCAGTGATCCTGGCAGTATAAACCTCTACAAAGATCCTATTTCTCCATGTGGGTGTCCACTGACAGAGAAACTATCACGAGTCCCAGTTATATGTCCCAGTCGTTAAGCACCGTATGAGGGGATTTGAGTTCTCACAGCTAATTCGACCATTGCTTTCAAATCTATTTGTGTGATGACCTCATGTTATCAGTCTTAAATGAATCAGAAAGATTAGAGAAATCGGCATTCAACTCACTATTCAGGATACAACACGCTAGTTTGAAATCTTTCCCTGCGATATGACAATGGAGAAAGATTAAGACTTCCTAATTGTTTTTCATCGAAAAGTGCATGTAAAGGTCCTATCCCTAGATTACTATCCACTCTTTGTTCCTACGTCGGAGTGTCTGATCCTTGCTCGAGGTAAGAAATAGCTGATTGTGTGCAGTCTTACGTAAGTAGGATTTAGGATCCTACATATCTGTCCATCAAATCACTTAAAGACCGCTGAGTAACCATTGCGTGTGAAATACCTTGGCTGGAGCTGTATTATAATGTCTCATTGCATTGAAGATATGACTAAAAGAAACCTTTAGATCCTTTCGTTCCGTAACCCAAGGCAATATTGGCCCATCTTGAGTTGATAAGGAATTAAGGTTTTCAAATTCTTAGGGACAAATTTTATTTGCCTTAAGATTCCCTAGTTAAGGCACTCTAATCTGCTAAATACCATGCAATCTCTACGGATTTGAACCAGCTGGTCAAAGTCAAGTTATTGGAGGATAATAACGCAGCTAGAATTGAAGAAAAAGAGGTGACGAACATCAGTAGTTCAGGGAAAATTCATATCGCGATACATGCAAAAGGTGCTAATATTTAGTGGATGCTTTAGAAATAATACAGCATCTACTCTAAAAATGTGTACAGTTTTACTAACAATAAAATCAAAGAACAAACAGTGGCGGGACCACAAAAATCCAGTGTCCAGTGGCTGCTGTGATATGATTGTGAACAATGACTTGTGTGCGCAACGTCATCCAGCTTTTAATGCTGTGTATTATGTCACAAATAAGTTTGATATTGAACTTATTAGGCTCTTGTATAATTTTTTTCAATTACATGTGTAGATGAAACCAGATATTTTACTTCCTCGTTCATTTATTCGGAAGAATCAGTTGTACCCATTTCAAGTTGTTGTTGTGAATGACAAATTCCCTGCAGTTATTGGGCTTTCAACGTCGGACAGTATTGAAATTCCTGAGAGCACTGTATCCAGGTTTGGATCAAACATGTCCGAAAGATTTACTATCCAGTTACCAACTCGGGTGACACCAGCAAAGTTGTTAAAAATGGAGATAACGTAACTAACTGTATCATAATCGCATTATAAATTAGAACACCAATAGACTCCGTACTTCTTCCTCTCCTGGAAGCAAGTGTATATTACAGATTGCGTAAGTCCTGTGACATTTTTAATTAGTGCAGAAATGTCACATACGATGATTGGAACGATGGAGATTATTAGAGCTCTTGGAAACTACTTTTCAGTTCAAAGTCTTGAAGTAGTCTCTACATCTGGGGAGTTGTTTTCAATGCAGAGCACCTGTAATAAGTCGTAAGTTTTTCGCACCTTTTTCTAGCCTGTGGTTCAGGTGCATAGTGTTAATGTTGGCCAACCATTTCCACCATTAAAAAGTTTTTCTTTACTGAGTATGCCATCGGTTTAAAGGAGTGTGAAGGGATCACAGGATTGATGCTGCCTTCAGCTTCCTGTCGATAATGTGGAGAATAATATTCTCCAACTCCGAATTTGCTCGGACAAACAACATTATTTTGTTATGTGAGGCTGGGACGCTAAAGTAAACCATTGTTAAAAGTTTTCAACGATTCAGTGTAATTAAAATTGATTTCATTTCAACACGATAAAAATAAATTGCACAGCAACACACGCAACAATGCTGCCGCTTAATAGCAGCATGCAAAAGGTGGATAAAAAGTGACATTAAAGTAGATGAAAGCGTATTGGAGGGGAGCGAAGAAATAAATGAAGGTTAGCAAAACGTTCAGACATTAAAAAACGTAAAAGAATAAGTTCATCTGCAAAACTGACTAATTTTCAGCCGTCTCACAAAATTTCTGTTACTATTCACTACTATTACCCCAGTAGCATATTCTACACCCTACATGGTCTAGAGAAACTGCCAAAGACTTCATGGATTGGTACCGCATCTTGACCTGGTCATTCAGACTTCTTCCAATCCAGTCCTACCTCAGGTAACACCACGTGTCGAGGTAGGCAGTAGCTCTTCATACTTAATATGTATCCAAACCACCTCAGTCGGTGAAGGTTTACGACCTCATTGAATAACTTACTTCCCATGTCCAGTACTCTTCTCATAACCTCGACATTACTCACGGTAATTCCATCGTATGTAGGCAGTACTACGAAAAAGTCTGTGGTCAAGAACCTGTTTTCGTTTCATGTCTTTCACTTTCAACGAGTTTCACAGCCCTATAATGGGATAGAGCGGAATATAGTGCATTACACTCGTCCTTCGATAGATAAATATCTTACTGGTGTCACGGATGACGTAAGTTAGCAAGTGTCGAACGGATTTACTGTATTCCAGCTGAGATTTTGTGAGCAACCAACTCATTTGACGTGATGCTGGTCCCCAAGTATATGAACTAGTCCGTATAGTCTACCACTCCACTTCCTCTCCTCATATAAGTAGTCGGTGCACGGTAGTCCTGATACATCATCTAGCATTTACCAAGTGCACAACGCATATCAGTGGTACTCACACGTTTGGTCATTTGGCTCAAGTTACTCCACGTTTTGTCTGACTGACCGAGAAAACGTAGAACCTCGCATACAGGTCCATCGGCTCAAGTTGCTACACTTCACAGTAGTACACAGAGAACAAGTAGATAAAAGAAGAGTGGTATCACGGTAGACAAAGTTGTGAGAGAGTATCAACAATTTAAAGATGAAGGCTATTCTGAATATTTAAGCTTTAGAAGATGTCAAGAAATGAATATAACTGCGCCATTGTGACCGATTTTCAGCCACATCACCAAGCGTTCTCAATCACTGATTCCTTTCGTCTCGAAGACGCCAACCCAGCAGTCTAGGTCTCCCTACATGGTTCAGACCAACAGTAAAAGACTTCATCGAGTGGTGTCACGTCTTGGTGTGGTTATCCTGAACCCTCTTCCAACCTAATCCGGCTTCCCCTAGCATAGTATATTGAGGTAGGCGGTGGATTGGCATGCACAATACATATCCAAGCCATCTCAGTCCAGTCGAAGATTCACAACCTCATCAACTAAATTACCTAACTTACCTAGTACTCTTCGCCTGACATCAACTTTGTTCACATGATGACTCCACCAAATGGGAGCAATGTTACGAATACAACTATAATCAAAACTCTGTAGTCGTTTTATGTCTTCTACGGCCATGTCTCACGAGACGGAACGGACTGCAGCCCAGTGTAGTCGTTTGATAGATGGTCGGATAGTTCACCAGTCGGTGCCACATGTGACTCAAGTTGTCAAATGCCCGATGGACCTTTTGTATCCTAGTTGAGATTTCGTCAGCAACCAACCCGTTCGGGTTGATGCAACTCACCAAGTAAGTGAAGTGATCGACGTATGCCATTACTTCACTCCCTATCGTTAAAGTGGGAGTACTTGCATTGTATCAGTTCTGGAGCATCATCTTACATCTGACAGGTGCTAGCGAAATGCATGCAAAGCATATTCAAACTTCTGCTCAACGCGTTCAGAAGACCCCGCATTTTGTCAGCATCTTCACTTAACAGAACAATATCGTCTGCACACTCCAAGTCAACCAGGGAGCAGGTCAGTCCCTGTGAAGTCAAAGGTAATTAAGTTTGTGTCCATTAGTACGCTTATGAAGAAGTTAAATAGGAACGGTGACCTTGGACATCCTAAGTGGACAGCACTAGTTGTCGTCTGTTCACGTGACGACTCTCCATAAGCCCTGTTATGGCTGGGTGAGTCAGAGTTGAGAGCTTTGATAAGCCATTTTAATTTGTTTATTAGAAATGTCACATATTGAAACAGTATCATAAACCAGATAATGTTTTGGACACAATTTATTGTCCATATTCACACCAGGTAGCTCCATAACTTTGAGACAGAGTTTGTATAGTCCTAATTTTCTCTTCTTTGTAACAAGAGTAATATATTTTTCTACATATCTGGGACGTGTGGGAATGATTCTGCACCTGTCCCAGGTATATAGAAAATCCTAATACTATTGTCACAAAAAAGAAGAGAAAATTAGGACTATACAAACTCTGTCCCAAAGTTATGGAGTTACCTGATATGTATGTTGGTCAATAAACTATATCCAGAACATTGTCTGGTAAATGGTACTGTTTCATTGTGACATTTCTGATAAACAGACTAAAGTGGAATTAAAATCGACCCCAGTGCTCAAGTCTTACTCCTATATTCGCTTTGATAAGCATTGTCTACTTGCTTGGTGCTTGGTCGACAAAGTCAAATACCGCCTTCAGGTCAGGAAATATGGCAAGTGTTGACTACTGGACGGTTTATTTGTCTGTGATCCAGAACCTGTCGTTGGGTAAAAATATGATGGATGTATCCTCGTTGAGGTCTGAAACGTGCCTGGTTTTCTTGATTTTGCTGTTCTCGAGCTCCAACTTGGCGTGTGATAACTATGGATCTTAGGATCTTGGACCGGACATTAGTCAAACTAATTCCTTTGGTTGTCACAAGAATAATTCATTCTCTCCTTAAAGACTGGGATGATCAGTGAAGTAGACCAGTCTGACGGCACTACCTCTTATTTATATGCACTACCTCTGGTACTTTAGTTAGCGATTTCCTACCTCCATCCTTGAAAACGTTTGGTCGCAAAGTATCAGGTCATGCTGCTTTGTATCATCGCAGGTTCGATACGCCCCTCAACTTCAAGGATACTTGGAGGACCGACATCTAAGTTCCATTCAGGTTGAGGCTGGATGTTGGGTGACTGAAGCATCGCTGAGAGCCAGACATGTATGAGCCCGTACCAGCGTGTGGTCGGGGTGCTAATAAGTCCTCCAGAAAGAGCAGCAATCCTCCATCGATCCTCTGCAACGATGACTTGTATCAATGTGATCTGTCTATGTCCATCGTTAGTTTGAATTCGTCGCACACTATGTGAGACAGTGTCTCTCCTTATGCCTAGTGTTAGAGTTGGTTGGGAACAGTTGATTGTCGGAACGAAATTGCAACAGACAACCACTGTTGTCGGTTCGTTGGCATAGGATTCCGTAGATACCCCCAAGATACCTGGCTTCCCGATTGGCTCAGCTTCCCTACTTGAGCGTTGAAGTCACGTGACATTATGACTACATCTGAACGTTTCGCTTTCTGTAGCATAGCTGACAGGTTCTCAGAATTTGTGAGTAGGCGGAGATTATGAATAAGCATCACCTAGTTTCACGACCTTCCATAGTCCTTACAGATCCATTCATTCGGAAAGCATATAGACGTCTATTAACTGGTATGCAGTTGAGAAGTGCACTTTCTCCCCTACAACTCTGTTATACCTACACCAGCAACTCCATGAGAGCTGGCAATTGGGTCTCCATATACTCGTATGGTGAATTTTGAAGCTTCATCGAAGTAGTCAGGTGAGGTCAACTTAATAACTACACTCGGGTCCCGTATGTGTGTCTCAGAAACACAGTTTACATCCATGGTTAAAGATTCCACAGTTTTGGTGAGCGATGCCTGCTGTCCGGTTTGGCATAGTCTTCAGACGTTGAAAGCTCCCACATGAAATCGATGGCGGGGACTAGGAATGAGGTTTTGATGGCTTTGATCGTTGGCAATGATTGCAGAGCGAGTGATTGGGTAGGGAGTAAGAGGTTAAACATTAGTATGAGGAGGTGAAGGCGAAGGAGGATATGTAATTTATTGGGATATGTTATGTTTGATTAGTTCTTATGTACTACTGAAAGCCTGTTTGCAGTTGACACTTCTCGACTACCCACGGTGTTGAAGGCTATTTCTTCTTAAGGTACCTGAAAGAGAAAACGATTTATGTGACCGCAGAGCCCATGGGACATCTGTTTGAGGCTTTCCAAACACGGCGTTTTGGTAATTTGGAGATTTTATTTTTTCGTTTTTGAATTCGACTATGAATCTCTGTTTCAATCGTTGGCATGCAGGGACCGGACTGGAGTGTGTTATTTTCAGGACCAACTTTTCTAACCCTCTCTTCCCTTTTGGGAAGTAACATCAGTACGGCACCACTGGTCATTGAAGAGAAATGCCTTACCGCTGTCACACACCATTCAGCTAGCAACAGTACACCTTCGCCTTCGGACCCCCATCATAATGTATTAATTTACACTGCACCGGTAATTTCTTTTTATTTTACCCCTATCCAACAGACCTTTCTGGGATGGTAGGACCTCGAGGTAACAAGCGTTCCAGCCATTGTAGCTCGTTTAGTTACTGTGATATGTAAACTCGACGTAGCAGCTATCGGCCGAGATTTCGTTTACGTCTTCGTCTAACAGAATTATGTCACTCGTACAGTGTAAGTCAGTCAGGTGCTCTCTGGAAAGTAAGTCAGTTCTTGAGAAGTCGGAGATACTTTGGGTTTAATCTACCTACACGCTTACGACCAAGGTCACTGAGGATTGTCGAAAGCGGATATGCTTGGTGTACACTAATGCTCCTCATTACTTCAGATGACAACTCTACATAAGCCTTTATACGACTGTGTGATTTCGAGTCGAGAACCTTGACTACTACTGCATGCTTGCTCGGTACTCCTTTAACGGATACTACCTCTCGATCAACAGAGATGAATGTCGTCTTCAGGCAAAGAAATATGGCAAGTGTCGGACGCTGGTAGTTGTGCATATTTTACAATGTCTGTCAAAGGATGAAGGCATTCGATACATCTTCATTTGGACATGGAGCCTGCTTCGTTTGCTGCATCTAAGTTCCATTTGGGTATCAAGTGACTATGAATCATAGTATTTTAGGCGCGATGTGGTTACCATAGGATGACTCCTCTTCTTTCTCAGAAGACTGAAATAATCAGCGATCTAGATCAGTTTGAAGGGACTACGTCTGATTCTCATACCCTGATTGGTATTTCGGTTGATTTACTAAGTATTTTTCTTTCCCATCTCTAAAATCCTCCAGCGGTAAATCATCAGTTCCTGGTCCTTTGCATCAGTCCATGTTTGGAACATAGTTCTGAACTTCAAGAAGAGTTGTAGGATGAACATATACGTTTCATTCGCGTTCGAACTGCCTGTCAGTTGGTTTTTGGTAATAGTTTCACTGATCATCATCTTCTTGATCGTCCCCTAAAAAGGCTTAAGTAATTGTCGAGTATTGCCTGATGTTGATACTTTCTTCATCTTTTTCGCTTTCGCCGCATACCACTGCTTCATGGTCGTTAAGAAGACTCTTAGTCAATTTACATTTAGGTTCCTTTTGCCCCTCATCAGGGTCAGAACTTTCTGAAATGGTTTTTCTCTCACCAATCAGTTCGGATGAGGTTGCGGAAATTTGTTGGCTTTTGCTAACCTTTGGTTCTAGGTTACTGACTATCTGTATCACTGATTTTTAACAGCGGATGGAATATTACTCCAGGTTTCATACAGAAGAGAATCTCTACCATGTTCAGATAAATGGCTAGCTATCTCTTCCTTAAATACACACTTGACGTTATCATTTATATGTTGAGCATACAGGCACTTCACTTCTGTTTATTCATTGCGTACATTCAGGTACAAATGTACACATGTGCGTACCGACGCGTGATCAGAGTCCCACCACGTACCTCGAAAAGCGACAATCCTTCGCAAACTCTATCGCGATATAACCTGTCTTTGCTCATCATTAACCTGATGCTGGAGGACCTCAAGTGACACGATATCTCTCACTATTTTAGAAGTTGGTTCAGCTTGCTTGCTTAAGCATTGAAACCGCCCGCTATTGTAGCTATTTTTGAACATTTTACTTTGAAATTTTTAGTCAAAGTAGTCCTATGCATCTTCCGAACTGCAGTTCGTACATTAACGTAGATAAGGAATGGGTATCGACGAGTGTCTCGATATTTTGAAGTTCTTACGCATCCATTCTGCTAGACCAGCACACAGACGGCTATCTAGTCGAACAGTGCGTTTCTTTTCCAATACATAGACCAGCAAGTCCACACGAAAAAGCTATCAAATCTCTGGATACTCCTTAAGTGAATAACCATACTTGCATTTGACACACATCTTTTAAAAGCATGGCATACATTCATTATCCGGAATGCCAGTTTTGGCAATTGAAGTCTGTTTTCCTATCCCATATAGGGTTCTGGCTCTAATGTAAAATCCACAGCATGGTTTTTGTAAACTAGGAATGGTGTCTTGTTGACTTGACTAGCAATAGTCAGATTGATAAGTTGAGGAAGCTGTAAGGGGCTCAATGTTGGTGACAAGCAGGTAGGGAAGGCAAGGCAAGAGACGAAACTAGGTTGTAGCAGTGAGGTGCTGCAGTTTAATATTACGCGTAGAAGTAGGAAGGTCGCCCACTGGTTAAGTTTTCTGGCTTTTTGCTGCTTGGTGATCGGTGTGAACTTCGCTTTGCTCACCAAGTATTAAGTGACTGGATATTAATGTTGGTCTTTACATCATACTATAAAAACTAGCACTTAGTGACTAAATTACTTTTTTAAGAAATTCATAAACATCTGGTTCTTAATACGTAAAGAGAATATGAGTAGGAGTTCTAAAATTCACCTCGTCTATTGTTTTCTAAGCCAGCCACCCTCTTACTATTGTTGGTTCGGGTTTCGCCCTAACTTAGGATCTCACTAAACTCTCATAATCATTGTGACCATTTCCACTCCATTTCTTCACTTTCTAATCTCGACACGTTTCCATCCTACTATAAAAACGTGAATCAGTGTCAAACTGGAAGGGGTTTGCTTGAAATTATTGTGAATCTGCAGAACTCTTCTTCCCTATATTATACTGTATTCATAAATGTTTTAATGCTTGGAACTACTTGATTTTACAGTGTGAAAAAAGAGTCCGATTTTTCTCCGCAGCGCGACTATTCCAGCTTTTCGTTTGAATCATTCAGCAGCCCTAATAACTCTTGGTCATGCGAATTTGTTCAATCCCTTTCAGATCACCATGTGTTTAAAGTGAGTATTATGTCAGTTAAGTCGAAAATTAAGTTTTATTTTATAGAGTTAATCTCAACAACGAAGCGTAGGTAATGAATTAAGTACTATCGGGCTGTTGGTTCTTAAGCATGTCGATTGAGATGTAAACTCATACTGTTTTTGGTGGCAGTAAGACTACCAATCTGCTTCATGTCGTTTACTATGTATGCAAATTAGTCAAGAACTGTGCCTTACAGGCTATAGTTTTTGGCGCCATATATGAGCTCTGCTCGTTGACAACTTATAGCAATGTCTTTCAATACCGTGTAAAAGTTAGAATCTGACATCACTAGGTAGCTTTTCAAGTAGCCAAACCTCACCTTAGCACATTATAAGATACAAGGCAGCAAGATGAAAATAAAAAGTAGAAAGGCATATAAGTAAGGGGAAGGGAATTTAACAGTGAAGAATTATATTATGTAAATATAAATATAAGGCGTTAAATGCATCTGCACTCCTGTCAAGACTAAATATCACGAACTTATCGTGGCCGAACTTACTTTTCACATTAGTGAGAGGTGGTGGAGACGTTCGACCACTTTAATCATATGCACGGGATGCATTTACATTTACCAGTCTGCAGTCAACAAATTTGCATTCGAAAGGTGGAAAGCGCTTCCAAAATATTCTGAATTTGTCGATTAACGCTTTGTAGAGCCTATTTCATTGACATACTCACCTAACGGGACTGTGTAGCCTTCGTACTTAAAGTTGAATAAAAAGTCTTCTGCAAGGAAACCGATCTCTGTAAAGTTTGATGAGACAAAAAAGCTCACCATAAACACGTTTATGAAAAAGAAAAAGAGAATGGAGAGATTGAACATCCCTGCCTGACACCAGTAAATATATCCAACCAACTTGATGCCTCGCTACAGGCTTTAGCATGTCCATGTGCTTGTGAATATTGGGCCTTCAGCAGAATGATGCACTTACTCGACACGTGTTTCAGTAAGACACACTGTTATAAGACCTCTAGGTCAACATAGATAAATGTCGCCTTCAGGTCAAGACATGCAACCAGTTTCAGGCACCAGTAAAGTGTGTATCTGTTTCCTGATCTGATGAGGGTAAATATCTAGAAGATACAACCATGATCACCTGTGAAACCTGTCTAGTTTTCTCGGGTTTTGATCTTCCAGAGCTTCATTTAGGCGTCTGATGACAATCGAACCTGGAATCTTAGGCACTATGTTTCTCAGACTGACAAACTTAAATTTCAAACTTCTAATAAGGCCGTGTGTGACCGATCTCAAGCAGATGTCCCCTAGGCTGTGCGGTCATGCACTAACCCTTCTATTTTAGGTACCTCAAGATGAAGTAACCTTTCACGGAGTAGGCTGCTGGGGAGTGTCGATGGCCGTCATAACTCTGTCAACACTCAGTTCACTTCAGATCAGTATCCACCTTCAAAATCCTCAACTTCTAATCTTCCTTCACATGTTACCGTAGATACTATCTATAATTTATTCCTCCACAAAATCTAACCTTTGAGTTCCTAGAGATTCGATGGCTAGTTTTCACGGTCTTGCAGGTGTAGATTTAGGATTATGTGTGAAGATAAAAGGTGCACTTCTTGGTTGGATCCCAGTTGTCAGTCTCCGCCTCTTTAGTGTGGTAACTTGGACCGTTTTATGGTAATAGGACATCACGTGTCGATATCATCTCTCTATCTGTACGTCCAAATTCTGACTTCCTAACCTCGAGACCAATTTACATTTATTTCCATCATATGTGGGCCAGCTGACGGTCGCAACGGTGATTGAACACGCGGAGTCATCAAAAATCCTCAGATTGAAAAGACCAAGTTTCCCCGGTATCGAGCAGAACTACCCTCAAAAACGTGTCTGGAGAGTGGATATACTCAAGTCAATGTGTATTCGTTCATAAAATTTTCAACAAAGAATCACTATAAATTGTTTTAAGACTTATTAATTGCTTTGAAATCTATCAAGATACTGATCACAGTGATAATATGAGATCTGATTGGTTTATTTGAAGAGATATTTTGATGAGTTGCTACTTGATAATATTATTCGGTAATCATCACTAGATTTCTTCTGATCTGCTCATTATCGTTGGAAAGAACTAGTCAACTAACTAAAACATATTCGTCATTTTGCACCCTATATTTGAGATTTGTGTAGTCGTAGATCAAGACCAAAACTGGAAGTAAAAGGGTTACGGATTTCCCACCTTGTTTTCCTTTCAGTTATTGACTCATAAGCTTTGAGAAGTATAGATGCATGTGTTGGTATTATAACCGTGAGGAGTATAGCAAATCGTAATCATGTAATTTTTAAATGTATATCTGCAGTTAGAATTGCAAATCATGTAACCGGAGATGGCTAGTTTATTCGGTGTTACAATTTCGTTTACCCACAAGTTTCCCCCTTGGGAGGACGTGTTGTCTTGTCAGCTGAATTTGGTGCAACTCCTTGGGAAAAGAACTTAAACCTCGTGAAATTGGTATTTTCTCTCATTCCACAGTTTCTATGAAAAATATTACATCTCGCATCACTTGGAATAATGTGAACTTTTGTTACTGTGGAGTTGAGACTTATCGGCTTTTAGTATCCGAATTCTCCCTAGTCGGTTACAGCTTTGAATTTTTCTTTACCTATCAAAGTTTAATCAACCAGGTAGGATCACTAACGATCACATAATCAGTACACAAATCTTTAAGTGAAGGCTAGATTTCATCATTATTACTAAAACCCCGGTGTTTATCTTATCAGCATAAATCTCTTAATAAGGCCGTTCATTTATCCTCACTTGAAACTTAACTTTAATGGTGACGAATGCATTTTTCAGCCAGAATGCTTATTTTAAAAGTGTTTAGTTAGTATTTCTGATTCAAGTAACTTTCTTTTGAGTACTGTCGCACTATTGGAATTATTAAATTTTTGCGCTGTTAAATATGTACCAGAGTGGGTTAGCGCACGTGGTATTCGTCTACAACGTAGATGCTGTCACCTTGCCGAGAGATTGACCGCTGACTACTAACAAAGTGCGACTGAATTTAATTGTTCGCATTTTTCTAGTTTTCATTTCTCGGGATAACACAATAGTCCTCCAGTGTCATCGATGGACATCCACATCACGTCACGCCTTCTCATTAGAACTTCCAAACATCTAGCTCAATAAGTTTCTTACAAGCCAAAAGTTGAATTGCTATCCAATGCTCATTAGTAACTTACTTTCAGCTGGATATCTCGAAGTTCTACTGAGATGGCGTGATTTGAAGAGTCCCGACTGGTTGATTGACAACATCAACGTAGAACCGCCGACATAGGCGCTTCGAATCAAGTTGCCATACTTCACAATGAATAGGTGGATAGAAAAAGAGTGATATCAAGGTAGACAAAGTTGTGTGAGAGAATAAACAATTTGAAAATAACGGTTAGTGAAAATATTCAAGGTTTACAGGACGTCAAGGAGTGAATACATCTGCGTAACCTTGACCGATTTTCAGGCGTCACCATGAGTTCTCAACCATCAATCCCTACTGTCTTAGTGACCCTAACCAAGCAGTCTACATCTTCCCACCTGTCTCAGAGCAACAGTAAGAGACTTCACTGACTGGTGCTATGTCTTGGTGTGGATACCCTGAACCCTCTTCCAACTTATTCCAAACTTCCCCAGCATGGCATGTCGAGGTAGAGGGTCGATCGGCGTGCACAGTACATTCCCAGACCATCTCAATCGACTAAAATTCAAAATCCTATCGACCGACTTGCCTAACTTGCCTAGTACTCCTCGCCTGACATCAGCATTGCTCACATGACGAGAGAGAGAGAGAGAGAGAGCAGTGTTACGCATACATCTGTCATCAGAACCCTATAATCGCTTCATATCTTGCACTTTCATCGACTTTCCCACATCAGAATAACAAGACAGAAAGAAATACAGCGCAGTATACTCGTTGTTTGATAGATATCATTATCATTTCACTGTCTGAGATAACCGGATAGTCGGATGTCTCGTTAGTTGGTGCCATAGATGACACAACTTAGCAAATGCCAAACGGGCCTTCTGTATCCGATTTGAGATTTCATTAGGAACCAACCCTTTCGGGTTGATGCGGCTTATCAAGTAAGTGAAGTGATCGACGTAAGCTAATACGTCACTCCCTATCGTTAAAGTGGGAGTACTTGCATCGTATCAGTTCTGGAGCATCATCTTACGTTTGACAGGTGGCGGCGAAGCTCATACCAAACATATTCAGATTTGGTTATGTCCATAAGTACGTCTGTGACTAAGTTGAACAGGAACATTGACAGCAGGCATCCCTTACGGACACATATTTATAGTTTCTGTGGACAATATGTTTCCAGTCCCATGTTTATCAATATCTTGATGACATAACTGATCCTTCCTAGTTGAAGTTAGAACTTGAATTACGTAATTCATATTGGGGTTTTTAAATTGTTTTCCTTACACACACTAAACGTCAGGTATACGCTGGTGTTAATTTTACCATTTTCGTATTGTTTTAGATTGGTGCTTCTACTCAATTGATTCTGGTTCAAGCTAAAGCTCCGCTTACTTCATCAGTTGGTCTACAAGATTTCGAAACTTCCAAGTTGACAACAAAAAACACTTATAACAATGGCAAAACCTGCAATTTATTTGGTTTAGATGCAGTTGAAAATATTGTACTCAATTATCTATATAATTTCTTATTGACATGCACACAAGGAAATAAAACCGTGTTTTCTTCGACTGTAGAACCTGGAATCGTTTTATACGGACTTCCAGGTTGTGGGAAACGTACACTTCTTGAAAGTATTGCCCATGGTCTAAATGGTTCGAGTTCAATAACCGAGGTGATTTTGTTGTTTATTATAACTTGATTTTATGCATTTATTATACTATATTTTGACTTGATAAGGCTGGAAAATTAAACCTTTCTAATTCAACCCAGCAAACAAGATTGAATGGTCCTGGGTTCGACTTCTTGTTGAGTCGTGAGTTCATACTGTTAAAAAGTCTTAAACTGTGCCGAAACAGCCGTTCAATGCTCGCTGGGTTTCAATAATTCTGTATCTGAATTTGATACAAAATGGATACCGTGATGTATATATTAACACTTTTTATTCACGTTTGTATGATAATATTAATTTTTTACTTCTTTTCTAGTCTTTGTATGAAAAGTTAACATTTATTACACTCACTTCAAAATTGATCAAGGAGTTAAGTGATGAGTCTTCTCATTGTTTATCTGCGGTGGAATCATATAGAACACAGTTTTGGCTAAACAATCTTATCAACCAATCAGATGTTATCAATGATAAAACTTGTATTGCAGTCGTTATTCTATGGCCAAACATTGATAAATGGATCAATACAGATGAAAACGGGGATACTAACTCTCATACTACTGAAGTTGATACAAACAGCGAGTTGAAAAAGTTCTCTCAAATTCTAAATCGACTCATGGAATTAATTCTGTCTATTAATCAAACATCTGCCGTTAACAATGGGAAAGTGGTTTGCCGATTTTGTATTTTGGCGACAGCGACTACAATAGATAAAGTGTTTAGTATTCATGAATGCAGAGAGCTTTTCTATAGACGACTGTTGATATCACTTCCAGATGCTAGAAGACGTTATCAAATATTATATCATAACATCCATTTGTATTTAACTGATGAGCATAGTTTTGATACAGATGAATCTTTGATGAAAAATTCCAGTATAAATAACCATTCATATGGTGATAGTGTTGATGAGAATGAAAATCTTATTCACGTTGCAGCTCAGTTGCATGGTTATACACCTAAGTAAGTTGATTTATTACAACTCATTGGTTATTTGAACCGGTCCATGGAATTAACTTTTCGTTTGGACTGACATTAGAGTATTTTGTTCTGTTTGTATTATGTGATGATTAAAAGTGAATTGAAAGCTAGGGTCATAGCAACATTTGAACCAGCAGCCTTCGGTTGCCAGCCTTACCGGTTGTCTACCAACTAACTCATAAAAGATGGCTGCTGAACATGTTTTAGATTCACTCCAGTCACTAAGGGTTTTATCCGGCTTTCATGTGATTGGATGATGCTTAACTGCCGGTTCATTGAAATCACACTGTGTGCTCAGCCAGGGCTTCTCATTCTAATCCAAATCGAGATCAAGCGTCCTATTGATTACCTATATGACTATCTGAGATAACTGTAGCTGTGATTTTATTGAGGTTAGGGGATAATTGAAGGGTGAACTGTAAATCTGGTTCGTGTCGAGATTTGAACCAGCAGCAACTGTTTATCAGTCAGGCGCTCTACCAGCTTAGCTGCTAATGAGGTACTAAATCCCCTTCGATCTTTTCAGGTTTCACTCGACCTTTTGCTTTGCCATTAAGTGGTGACAACTTATTTTCTCTTATTTGGAAACCGTTTTTATGTATCTCAAAGTTGTTGGCGTTTTATTACAATGAATAGCACTTTAAATAATTCAGGCGGTGGCTAGTTGAAAAACTCAACTTTCAACCTGTAGGTTATAAGTTCTAAGTTCACTGTACCAACCAGGGTTGTCATTGCCATTCGGCGTCTTTACCTGTTCGTAAACAGATGTGGTACGTAACCTACTACAAGAAACTACGTATACTTGCTGAGTTGCATTACTTTCGTATTTGCAGTTAGTTGAAATGGAGTATCTGAATGACAGCCGCAGAGACATAGGTTTGAAGGCCATACAGTTGTTCTTCTACCTTTATGATTCCATTTTACTTGTTTTTCTCTTTTGACTGGAATCGATCCAGAGCAGTTAGGTAAACAGTTAAAAATAAGGTAGAACCCCACATAAAATTCCATCGATCCAAGTGATCACACCTCATTACAGCCCAGGAAAAGGAAGTCAATAACAGTAAGTGGATATCGTAATTTAAATGATGATGAAAGAGCACAAGTGGGAGAATCATAAAAACTTGTATTGAAAAACTAAATATCTGAGACAAAAGACTATACATTTGTTCCATACTATCTAGGATCTTCAATCGCTGATTCCTAATATCTCGAGATTTCTTTGAGTAGGCGTGCACTTTCGCTGATAGTTACTACTGCAACTTTCAAGTGGGGTGGTTGACACATTCCACCTCTTGGAAATGCTTAAAAACTAATCCTGAAGCGTTATCTTATATGTGACAGGTGCGAAAGACATTGCAAAGATACTCAGGTTTTTGATCAAGGTGTTCAGAATACCATGAGTTTTGTCAATGTCCTCACGCAGCAGAAACATATTGTTTGCGTACTCCAAGTCAACAAGACTGCCTCCAGGAAGTAGGTCAACCCGATTCCTTTGAAATCAGACTTATCTACTGTTATGCCTATTAATACATCTATAGTGAAGTTGAACAGAAACAGTGCAAACGGGTATCCCTTATGAACACCACTGGTTGTCGTAAATTCAGATTAAAACTCTCTATAAGCCTTTACGTAGCTAGCTGCATGAATTCGAGTAGAAAGTTTTGATTGGCACTACATACTTGTTTAGTACTCCCTTCACAGTCAGACACTATCACAACACTTCATGGTCGACATAGTCGAATACCACCTTCAGGTCATGAAATATTGGCAAGTGTCGACTACCGGTAAGTATGTGTGTTCCTTAACCTACCAAAGGGTAAAAATCTTATCGATGCACCCTCGTCCAGCTGTCTGAAACCTACTGTGTTGGTACTTTCGTTGTTTGAACTGTATTTTTAATTGAACAGCAGACCTCAAAAACCAAAATTTCAGTATTCTAGCGACGCGTTTAACTTTTATTTTGAAAACATTAGTGTTTAATCTAAGTTGTGAATCATTTGAGATCAGTGCATGCTTATCATAGGCTTGTTGGAACAGGAATGACACTAAATATCTACCATAATTGGGTCTCATATGTGTGTTGTGTATTGGATCTTAACGCCTAAAATAGGTGTTTTGTTGATAATTTTTGACTTTAAAGCAGATGGATTGGCCATGCACTGAGAAGGCCGACTGAGGACATCACGCGTCAGGCCCTCGAGTGGAATCCCCATGGGAAGCGACGAGTTGGACGTCCGAGGGTGACATGGAGGAGGTCGTGCGAGGAGGAAATGAGAGGTTGTGGGCTGTCGTGGGACCAGGTTCAAAAGATCTCAAAGAACAGAGGTCACTGGAGGCGTGCTACTGAAGCCCTATGTTCCACTAGGAACCCAAGGGACTAATAATAAAATAATAAATAATAATTAAAGCAGACAAACGAATAGTAGTAGTTGTTATCTTCAGTTTTATTTCAAAATATCACTTGATTGTATTTAGCAATAGCTTTAAACCACGACGAAAACATTCTGGCTATCGTAGTTAATAAATAATGCATATCAGTGTTATTGTTATTAACTACCATCGAATTGGATTAACAGACTTTCTATCGCTTTGGAATACCTACCTAGACACATGTGTTATGCACCCCTAGTTAACGTCTACTTCGTCGAGCAATTTAGCTGAAGTATGCTCAAGGTGGCAAAAGCCTGAAGACGACCAAACGTAAACTAGGCATCAGCCGATAAGGTCTCTGATGCTTGTTGTCTGTGTCGAGTATGGAAGTGTAGACTTTCAGGGCAGAGTTTGCGTGAAAACTTTAGGTGATATTGTTAATAATCCATCTCAGTGGCACTGAAGCCCACTCACATTGTCCTTATCCCAGTTGTCATATCACATTTCCTTGTATGTTGAACACCCCCAATTCATGACTTGCTGCGACTTTTGATTAATTTCTCCCTTATTTATTTGTCTCTTATCTTGGTATCTTTTACCGTGATGGGCTGGTGTGGAGTGTGGCAACTTGAACGGTTACTTACTAATTACAGGTCTCACGTTGATATTAAGTGAATTGACCTGCCTAGACCTTGTGTACGTGTTGACTAAGGCATGTTTATCTGCGCCTAAACTATTGGAACATGAGACTGATTCTCAGTCAGGTATAACAGTTTTGCACAGATCAGCTGATTTCGATAGATTCATATTACGATGAAGACGAAAAGTAGCTTAGTCAACTAAAAGCATCCTAAATTACCTCATATAGTTTTGCGTAACAATAGTGAAAAATATCAGCAATAATCTAGCAGTTGGTTTCTGTGTCGATTCTAACAATAAAAGATAGAAAAGTGATAGACTCGTGGAACAGGTGATTGACACAAATGGTGCGGCATTTTTAGCAGTTCGAACGAATCTTTAGTTATGACCTGAATTTAAAACCAGGGGTTCTTTTTGTTGACCAATGTATTGCTAGTCTTGCCTAACTGGAATTATTCTAGAAGGAGGTAGGCATTAAAATCTACAAAATGATTTCCTTTTTATAGGGATTTAGTTCGTCTGGTCCAAGTTAGTTATGCAGCTTTCTTATCCAAACAAAATGACTGCTCAGAGGATTTTTCGAAACGTAAAGACTCCTTCAACAGGGAACAAATGAATGTTTTCTGCAAAATTTTGATGAATGAATCTCACTCCTACTTGCCGATTAATCTCTCTCAGCATATCAGTTCAGTGGATCCCTTACGATGGACTGATATTGGTGGATATAATGAACTGAAATTATTACTCAAAACTATGATACAGGATCGTTTAATCAGTGCTGCCAAACCTAATAGTCCAGATGCACAAGCTGACGCTGCCTTACTCCTTCGCGTACCACGTGGTATATTACTTCATGGTCCTCCTGGTAAATTCGCTTTTCATATTTATTTTTTAGGCGTTTATTTTGTTATGATCCACGGTATATATAACGATACAATGCTCCGACGCAATACGGTTGACGATAAAACAATGACTTCTCAATTTGATATTCAGCGGACACTAGAAGAAGACGAGATTTTAAGTATACATACTTCAACCGAATCCTCCCATAGCTGAAAACTCAGTCATTTGTATTTCTTTAGATAACCTTGACCAGGATAAAGAAAATAGCATATTAAGAGTGTAAAATAGAGCAATCAGGGTTTAGTTTCCTAAACTGCGGTAAAAATAAGTAACATTATATTGCGCAAAAAGGCGCGGAAATAAGGTTTAAATTTTACAATGATAATAGATACATATTATAAGTTAGTTTCTCTTAAAGATTAGACATCCCTAAAACATTTTATCCAGCTTGCTTTGCAATAGCTTTGGTATTCATCATGCTCTCATGATGCTGTGCCAGTTTACCTTTGGAATGAATATAAACTTCACTTATGACCACTGTGAAGACTTTTATTTGTTAATCCTGAAAGTGTGTTGCCCAATGCATATTTCTGATTATTGGGTGCGTTATATGTAGATTTCTATCTGTAAGTCAAAAAACAAACGCTCAAGATGTATATTGTTTACAACAGGGGTGATAAGAGATAAAGCTAACACAAACAAAGCATTAGGTAATTTGAATTATAAAAGTTAAACGAAATGAATTGAATGTATGGGTTTGTTAAGAATTGTAATAATCAGTAAGATTTATTCAAGTAATACCTGAAATTAATAAATGTAAAGATATGTTATGTTCATGGTTACCGGATGGTACTCACGCTTCTTTAATTAACAACCTCGACTCCAAAATCCCACACTCTGAAAATAGAAAGAAGAATGCTTTAGATGAGGGGCTTAATGACCTACTAAAAGGCCGGAAATGATCCAAAACACGTCTGTTTATATATATGATATGTGATCTTGTCCAGAATTCGGAACCTTGACATATTAAAAGTAAGCGTCAACCGATCGACGATTTACCTTAGAAAAAAGAGGGAGAAAATGAACTACCACAGTGTGAAAAGCCACGAAAACTGTAACCTAAAAATATATACGAAAATAAATGATGTTTTATGTTCTAACCCGTAGCCCACTAGTTGTAAGTCAACTGTTTAAACCAATGAGTCCACAACTCCACTGATACAGACACAAGGACTGCACATACACCTTTTCCATACAATAGTCAGGTGTTTTTAAAAGTTGAAGAGGAACACAAATTTGGCAGATTACATTGACAACCTTAAAATAACTTGGGATCAGTTTACTGATCGAAACCGATCGAGTATTTAAAAATGGAACTTCTAGCACATTTCATTTTAACCTCAAAAGAACAGGTTGAAGTATATCTCGGTATACTTGTTGACAATCTCAGTCTACAACCGCGAGCTACAGTACCAAGTGGACTGGCGGATGCACATCTAAATGACCGAATGAGTAATCCTGTAGTCTACGCGTACGAAGACCAATTCATGACTACTAATGGGCAATTGAATTTTATCTGCAAAGAATCGTCTGTTGGTTCATCGGGAAAAAATGAATTCTTAGTCCATTCGATATCACATCACCCTTTTTTTTAAATCCATGAAAATCTTTCGAAAACTGAGTTCATGACCGGTTTCGCATACTTTATTTTCCATACCCTTATTAACAAAATGGCTTAGCTTGGCATTTCTAGAAAGCGTACTTCTCATGAAATTTAGTGCATCTTCAATATAATCTGTGCTACGAATATCCCAACTTTCAATAGACGATAGTCGAAGTAATATATTATCCATGGATTGTACAGTGAGTATATGTTCTTCCAGCTTTCAATTAATCCACACCACAGTTGTCTATAGGCGTTTATCGCACTCCTTTAGTTGTCTTAGATTCTGACTTTTCAGAATCTCCCCTAGAATTCTCTCCCTGTCTCAGTTCTTTTGTTGACACCACCTGATTTTTGTCTAACAGTGGACTGATCGCCTCTCGTCACTAGTTGGTGGTTTGTGAAAGAACAGGTATTCTGTAGCATAACTTAACTGATTTCAACGTTTTCCTTATTGACGTATATCATCATAGATAAAATATCTTTCCTAACAATTCTGTTATTGATATACTAACCTGCAGCTATACTAATCGCCAAGGTTAGATTAAAATTATGATCTGTAATGTAAAGCGTGTCAATTATTAAGCGCGAACAAGTCCACTGGTTATGGATATTGATGTTATCTTCATGAACTGAGACGACCATCGAGCGTGAAAAGAGTATGCACAGTCTTTGCTTTTATCATGACTTGAATATTATTTTGCTTTGCTTTTTCAACTTCCCTTCTTTTTAGATTTATTCTTTAAACTTATGTCTTGTCATCATTTGTCTACTTATTAGTTCCAGATATGACTTCGAATAATCCTTCCAGTAACTATATCTCTTAACAAAAGTGGGTTGTGGGTTCGAACTCTGTTCAGTCTGCCAAGGTTAGAGAAGCCACGCAATAGGCGTAGCTCATTGCCTACTGCACGTATGTCTATGAGGTGGCTGAGTGCATTTCGTTTGTTCGTCGAGAGATTTGTAGCTCAGGATCAGGATGATAATTGTTTGGTGTTCCCTGGAGCTTTGAGATTTGTTCTGGGACGTTGCATCACCAGGCTACGCAACTTCATCAGCAAACGAACCTCATAAATGGGAGAACATCAAACAATTATCATGCATTCATTGTATGTCGATTAACTTCCATCACTTATATTACCTAATGCTTGTTTGTGCATTATTTCTACCTTTTGCGCCCTTTTGTAAACAACATCCATCTCATTAAACGATTTAGAAAACGTCTTGTCATCACTTAGCTTCTACATCTCCTAGTCATAACGTATAAATATAAATATGAACATTACTGTAGTTATATAGTTTCATAGGGATTTTCTTTTAAGGTAGTATTCATCACGGCCTGACATCAGTTTGAGAACCATTGGAAATCTGAGAGCACTGACCAGCTATTTCGTCCAATCGTACTGCCGAGGAGTCTCATAATGGGATGAAGCAGCTGTCCAATGCATCCAGGTTTCCGAGGGTTCTCCAACTGATGTCAGTCCATGATGAATGCTGTCTTAAACTAAACATTATTGTTAATCCTGTCACCTATTATTTATATTTCCTCACGGGTTCAGTTAAAAATGTATAGCCTGAAAATAAATCTGTTGAAACAAGATTTTTTCATTTTCATGTATAATTGAAAAGTATTGTTAATTCTGCAAACGAAAAAAATTGAATGGGATTTTGAGCATGATCATTAATTTTGGCCAGAGTTTTAGCGGTTTGGAAATATATTCCACTGACAAACGTTTTATTATCAACACGAAGAACTTACCGTTGCCCTGGATTCGATCCCTAGCGGGATCATGAATGCGAGCTACTAAGGAGCCCCTTACTAGAACGAAACATGTCCAGTGCTCCCAGGGGATTTTCTTATTGCAACACTGAATGCTTAGCATTCTTAGATGACAGAGATATCGATCATATTTTCCCTACATTAGTGACTCATATTCCTCGATTACTAATTGCTTCTTCCTTGTTATATGACTTCATATTTGAATCATTTTTAACTTCTTAGGTGTTCAAAGACCATGTTTGTTCGAGCTTTAGCAACTGAATGCCAACTTCCTCTAATTGCTGTTCAAGCGTCTAGAATATTGGTCGTTATGTTGGTGATAGTGAACGTAACATGCGAAGAATTCTAGTCCAAGCACGTGCTTCTGCGCCTGCTATTCTATTCATTGATGAAATTGATCTGTTACTTCCTACACGTAGCTCAGGGTTAGTGATATTTGTGTTGTATCATCTCAGTCTGTGTATGATTTCTATTCCGTACATAAGTTTGTGGTTATTGAATCGTGTAGTCGTTTCACCACTGAACTGTTTCGACTGATTTAAGAGCACTCTGTTCAGGTTAAACCTTGAAAAGGGCGATTCAACTCAGAAATGAGACTTGGACTGAAATCATCATACTGTCCGTTATATCTGTTGTTTAAAGAGTAGTAACAGTGTGTACGCTTACCGAGACAATGTTGTATCAAACTGGATTTGCACTCATAAGCATAGTGTTTATAGGTGAGTATGTTAACGCCTCAGCATTTATTCCGCTTCAGCAATTGTATGCTATCTGACTAGTGGTGTCATTCAGCAATATTAACCAAGGTAAGGTTCCGTTAGAAAAAGCTAGGAATGGCTAGACCAAGACATCGTATCACTTGGTGAAGTCTCTGACTCTTGGTTCAATTCATGTAGGGAGGTTCATGCTACTACTTGAATGAGTTTGTTTAGATACTATGAATGAACATGTTCAAACTCTTGCTGACGAAGCTCAAAGTCGACGTTTTATTCTTTGGAACAAATCCGTCCCTTCGAAATACCAATGGAAATTGCTTAGCAGTGGGATCTAGAATGAGTGTGTGCCCTATTTTGGGCTTGTTAATTAGATGTACCTGCCTCCCAGTGAGTGATATTGTCCCCACTAAGACTCAAACCCAGGACCAATCTCTCCCAGCTGACGAGTCCTAAACAGGACAAAACGCGCGCCCTGAATTCATCTTCCAGCCACTGTTCATCATTACTGTAATATTGAAATAACAGACAATATTGAGACATCCGCATATATCAACAGAGATCGGTCAATTCGGTCCAATCTACAGTGGGGTAATTTAAGCAATATCATAAAACCAGTCCCTTCGACGAATTTATATAATGTAATAAGAAAGCGGAGGTTGTCTGAGAAGTATGATGTATTTACGCAATGCATTTCGAACCATCTGGTCACACGTTTACTTATCAGTGTATTTTATAAGAAGGGTGAAAGTGGGGTGGGACGAATAAGTTAGGATAATACAAGATTCTTAAAATGTAAGGATATTTTCACACTTCCCTTGGCATTAAAATGAGATGAAGATTACCAAGGAAGATTTGAGGTAAGGACAAACTGTTTTTGAATACAAAAAGTTGGGTTTGAACTTTCGTAAAGCTAAGGCTTCAATGAACCTAAGTAATAACGTTTCGCTGTCATCATCTGTAGGTAAACACATTATAAAAACAGATCGCCGAATTGGCTCAGAAACAGACTTTATGTCACATAAGAGCCGTCAGGACTGTATACCTAGGTTCCTTGAAGCATTAGCTATCCGAAAGCTCAAACCTTCTTTGTGCTACATACTCCTAATTTTGCATAGCTTTTGCCTGCTAATTTGCCCATGACCTTAACCTACATGGCTGTTTTCGCACTGTTAAAAGTTTCTCTTCCCTCTGCTCTCAAGGCTGAACTCTCGTTGGTTGTTAACTATTTTTACCTATATGTGGATTTAGTGTTGTCAAGGTTATATAGAAATGTATATATTCAGCATCTCCGTCAACCGTGTTGACTGTTGTTGAGACAATAAAAAGCTGTCTGTCTGTCTTCTCTTCGTGTCTTCGCACGTCGGTCGTATTGTTATGGTGGCGATTGACCTTCTGATTTACATTAGAGTCGATTCGTTTACGTGTTAGGCTGGTATCGCTGGTAGGCTGTTAGGTCGTACTACCGGTCATAGCAGTTTTTGCCTTCAAAAACAATTTTTGCTGACTTTAATCATGCCTTGGTAATATTTATCTCATTTTAATGCCAAAGGAGGTGTAAAAATGTATTATTCCTCCTTATCATCCCTATACTTTCCAAATCTTATACTACATAGTTTACTTACCCTGTCCTATTTTCACCATTCATACAGAATGTCATGACAAGTAAATGTGTGATTAGTTTGTAATGCTTAAATACATCACATTTCCCAGATCGCCTACGTCTTCCTATTACACTGGCCAAGTTTGATTCTTTCTTCTTCATCTTCAAGCCTTTAAGAGACTTATTTATTCTCTTCTCTCACTTCTATTTATTTTAATACCATTCGCTATTTTTTTTACATCGTCTTATTGGTCTGCTTGAACTGATGCAGCTGCTGTCCAAATTTATACATTAACCTATTTGATGGTGTTATGTTCTCTGAGCTGAACGGTTTAATTGTGAAGCTTTCATTGTCATTCTAGATATCATCAGGACAAACTTCAGTGAGAAGTAAACCGTGAGGTTTCCTCCACAAGTGGCTTATTAGCTTAGCTTGGTGTCCTTGTGTGTTATTAGCTGTAGAAACAAGAATTCAGCCATTTATTTCCCAAGCTACAAGCTACAAAGTCAATTGTGAAGAAAACCTCATTGCTCACATCTTTCTGAAGCTTGTGCTGATAATGTTGTCTACAATGACAATGAAAGCTTCATGATTGGATTATTCAGCTCCGAAAACATAACACCATCAAAATCATCCTTCTGAGCTATGAATATTCTCTATCATCACATTGCTATGTTTTTTTTTTACTTGTATCCAGTAGTTCGTCTTTATTTCACAATCAATTTTGAATTCCATTTTATCGTACAAGACTTTTGTATCATATTCACATGCATACGCTTTGAAGATGTCACAAAATTATGTTGTTGAACACATTCGATCCCCTTTTATCTAAACGACTGAATAATGTTCTTATCTTTAGTACACTACATATGATTCGTAATTTATCATGAGGATGTTAGGACAGTTGCATTTCTTCCAAGTTAGTTATTGTGGAATGAGAAACTGATAACTTCGATTTTATTACGTAGTGTTAATAGATACTGAAATCGTCTCAGTATTTAACTAATTCTCATCTTTATTTTTATTGAAAATATTTTTTTTCCGGATTATATAGAGAAACTAGTGCAAGTGAACATGTTCTAGGCGAAGTTTTGATGGCAATGGATGGAGTTGAAGGTCAAAATGGACAATTGATTCTTGTAGCTGCAACTAACAGAATGGATAAATTGGACTCAGTAAGTCATCCTTGTTCTTTTATTCAATCTCTTTTGTATAGTATTTCAAGTGTTGGCTAAACATTAACCGATAGAAAGCCTTGGATTTAAGTAGCGTGCTTGTTAGTACTCTTTAGCAATGCGTATCTGTGACTGTAAGAGAACTGATGTGCATTCGAAGATCTGAGCTCTCAGTACCCAGTGCTGCACCAAGAGATATCATCACTGAGCTGTTTGAAAAGAAATTTTCCTTCTGTAGGAAAAGTGGATGTCGCATATATATATATATATATATATATATATATATATATATATATATATATATGTATAAACTTTGGTGACGAGAAACCTTGAAAAGGCTAATTAGTTTCGAATTACCTACCGCATTCTAGGTTACTAATTACATCCATTTACCGTGTTGTTGATGCTACATAAACTTGATGAATTATGATGAAGATTATGTTGTGGGTTACTTGTGGAGAGTTGAAATCCTTTAGGGAAGTGTAAATTGCGAATAAATAATGATTTCAGTACTACGTTGGGTGGTTATAGAACAGTTGTGTTATCAGTAGGAGCTCCGACAAATGTTACTGAACTTTGTCCAATACAATGGTATCAGCACTGCAGCGATATTTGGTCCGAAATGATATGCAGGTTGGATGTGAAGATTTGTGGAGTTGGTAACGTGGTTGAAATAGAAGATCTTGTGGTTCGGAGAAGTAAATAAAGTCGAGAAATTTGACTTAAATAGAACTGTGTAAGCTACGTAGATATATCTTGACAAATCCCAGTTTCTTGGTATATACGACCAAAATATGAATGAAGAACATTTTCAGTGGATAAAGTATAGATCAGAAATATTTGTGCTACCGGTTATAGAAAAATGGTTAGAATCAGGTACTATACAGAGATGCCGTTATCCGGAACGGGTTTACTCCGTCAAGTTATTCTTTACGGAAGTACCTCGTTGATCCAACTACTAGAGTGTATGCGAACAACGTTGAAAATATATGTTGTCTTTGTAAGACCTTTACCAGGAGCACGAGGGGATATTTTATGGTCTCAAAAAGTATGAGCCTATCGAAAATAGAGATATTTTTAATTCTCACAAAAAATATTCATATATAGTAAATAAAATACCATTATCCTTAATAACTTCGTTATCCTTCGTATACTTCGTTCTGATTGGTCAGTGCATACTTCAATATGATTGGCTGTCACTAAAGTTTAGCTGTTCCGCTTGATTCTGTGTATTACCCAACCATTTTTAATTTAACTATGATGGTTAACTGCAGCGCAAGTTCCACTGTAGTTTCGTAGTATGAACCATGCAGCCGACATGGCTGATTTATTCAAGAACGCTTTTATATATATTGAAGGTTGTCAAAAAACGCAATGCTTAACCCGACAAAATAAAACTAATAGGATTTCGCTAATATGTTATTTTTATGCACGCGATTTTCAAGCAATGGTTCACGTGTTGAAATCTTGCCCTAACTGTCATTAAGCTTTACACAGTTGATGTGTAGAGCTCATTGTGTAGTGCTGCTGACCGGTTCATTGTTGATCGGTTTTATTACAGTGGGTTCTTGTTGCTTTGTAGGTCAAATAATACAGTTTGTGGAATGTTTCGGGAATTCTGATGAGTAACAAGACATAATGCAATGTACACTTAGTTAACTTGGATTACTTGAGAGCAGTTTACTACATCCTGTTCACAGGGTTGTTTCATTCTCAGTAGGTGATGTTGTTCTGTTACTTGTGTCATATAATTCAATATTTTTGCGTAATTACTTTTTACCATGATAGATTTCTACATACATGGCAATTCATTACTGTCCTACAAAATCCTTGTCTTATTTCTTTAGGCACTTAGCCGTGCAGGTCGTTTTGATTTAGTCATCGAAGTTCCGCCTCCCGATGCAGCAGCACGAGCAGATATTCTACGTTTAGAACTATCGAAACGTGCACTGTTGCACAAATCACTACTGGAATGTAAATGGTTAAATTCATTTGCTGAAAATGACCTGAGTGACTATACAGGCGCAGAAGTTGTACAAGTTGTTCAACAGGCTGCTCAATTAGCTCGACAAGATGGTTCCAATCGAATATCTAAGCATCATTTGACACAGGCGAAAATTCTTTTACCACCTCGTTCACTAATGAATTTTTCTTCCCAAAGTGTACAAATGAATAAGCAATCCAATATTTCAACTGCCAATCTGTTTGTACATTATAAATTTTTGGTGTTCTCCATTGTCATTTTGTTAATTGCTGTACTCTTACATACTGTTCATATTGGTGTTTATAGTTTCACCTGAGATGGTGTAAATTTTCAAAAAGAATATGTATATTGTGTCTTGTTGATAGTGAGTACGACTTTCAGTTTTCCTCACCGATGATGGATTTTGTAATATATATTGTGGTAGACTTCTATTGAAGATAATATATTTGAAATAAATAAAAACCCGAAGATCATCACGTCTTTTACTTCCATCCTTTACAGTGATGTATGAGAAAAAGATGGAAATCCCCTGTTCCTCATGGTCAGTTAACTTTCTGTTAATACTGTCCCTATCTACTCTCTTCTGAAATGCGAACCCGCGTCACCGATTGTTACAGTCAGCGAGTTATTCAGGCTACAATTGACCTGTTTTAGGACTGGATTACGTATATTGATTGGTCACTAGACAGGAAGCAATTTCCTGTTCTTTATTCTTAATGCTGACACGGGTTCGTACCTCAGAGAAGATACCAGTCTATTCGAGGTTGCAGATATACCTTGCTGATGAGTGCCAACAAGCATGGAACTTATGTCCAAAGCTTCCTACCGATTGCATCAGAGAAGTTTTGGAAGTTAATCGATAACTTCAAATACAAGGACTTGATACCTCGAGGATCTCTGTTGCCCTGTCTACCTTAGAATGACAGTAAACTCTCTACCTCAATTTTATCGACTTTGAAAAGGCCTTCGACAGCGTCGACCGAGAAGTAATTTGGCAGTTGCTTCAACACTACGGTTTTAGTGCCACTAGTCTTTATCAACCTCATTCAACAGTTATATGACGACTCCACATGCCAAGTGATCCACAATAGAAAGCTCAGTGAGGAGATCATGTGAGAAAGAAATGAAAGCTTGTAGGCAGTCGTGGTGCCAGGTTCGAAAGACTGCAGAGAAGAGAGTGCAATGGAGGTGTGCTACTGAATACCTATGTTCCACTAGGAACCCAAGGGAAAAATAATAAAAATACAGTCTACGTAAGGTACATAAACAGAATGTCTCGTCAAAACTTATACCATCAACGTTTAACTCACCTTATTAAGACGTTAGATGTAAGGATTTTTGGTTGAGACAATCTCATGTACTTGGCGCAGTTTTTTAGTACTCGACACTAAGTTTATCTGCATGTGGTTCTGGACCTTCATTTCTTACTTTTAAATAGGCTTCTATAGTGTGTATTTCATTCTTGGAAAAACTTATGTTGTCAACCAGTATTGCATTTAGACTTGAAGCGTGAAAGTCGGCGGTTGATGAGGCTATATTGTATAATATATAGGTCAGCGCTCAACTCACAAAAAGGGATTTTTGAAGTAAATAGTAAATCACTTAACCCTAAAGGAAAGTTCAGTTAGTCGATATCCAGTCAAACCTTGAAATGTTATCTTGTCATGTCAGATTATTTGTTGATAATGTTTGCACTTAACGTTTTTACCTCTCTAAACTTCCAGCATATTGTCTGAAAGTGCGCTTAGGCACGCATTTTATGTTTAAATAGCAAATAAGCTGTCAAGGATGTATGAATGTAATTTATTGATCTGCAAATAAGACTGACCGTAGAATTGTGGCTTATCATGTTAGACAGTTGACTTTGAACCAGTGAGTTTCGGGTTAGAGCCCCGCTGATGTTTCAGCAGCAAGGTGGTAAAATTAGCACTCATATCAGGTGTGGCCCACTGCCTACTTCACGAATGTGCACATGGTTGCTGAGTGGATTTTGATTCGAGATAATAATAACTGGTAAAGAGTGAGAAGTACAGCTGAGTAGGTAAAGAATTTTCTACACTTTCATTAATTATAACGAAGAAGGTAAACATATTTTTCATACTCTATACTAAGTGTCTAAACACACCTAATTGGAGTTCACACTCCAATTGCATGGCTCATCGGTCTAGATAGTATACTTTCATTGAATGGGTTGTAGATTTTGAATGGATCTCAGTCTACTGAGCCTCGACCAGCCAAGTAGTATCATCACTTCTCATACCATATGGGGAGCTCACAGACTTGCACAAAAGCTGTATATGTTTAAGTTTCTACTGTCACTAACCCACTGTATGAAAGTCATAATGTTTAGACACAATACAACAACTCAAACATTAATGCATAGAGTGAAATATCCAAAAGTGATGAACTTCATTTCCTGTTATATAGGCGTTTCCCTCTAATACTTGCTAAAGAAAAGTGATTTTCTGGTGTGCATCTAATAGACTAGGGTGAACTAAGAATATATTAAGAGATGAAAGCAAAATAGACATGCGAGAAAACACTTATCTAACCCAAGTTCCATTACTATCACATATCCAAGAGGTTTTAACATGAGAATGGTAGTGATTTCTAATATAGTAACCAAAATACCCTTGGTTTTATCCAGAACTTGGAAGCTGGTTGTACCTACATCGATATTGGCATTCTCCGAAGTCTCAAAACCAAAACGTCTCTTATGCTACTGATTTATGAATAACCGTTTGTGATTCAACAGCCATACGCTGTCGTTATCTCTAGGGGTTTTATTTGACAGTGCCATATACTGGGTGCAGGGTTTTTGGTACTCGATACCATGAATTTACCCGCATGTAATTCTGGACCTTGATTGCTTGCTTGTATATAGGGTTCAGCAAAGTGTGTATTTTCATCCTTGGAAAATATCTTGTTTCAGATATGTGGGTCTGTGTTGATCGGTATTGCATTTAGAAGTTTAAACTCTAATCTATGCTGTCGAGCTCGATTAGTGAGAAATTTTGGTGCATAGATTACTGTTGATAAACTTCATTTTTCGTCGTTTGGCTTACTGAATACTGAAGCAGTTATTGATTTAGACCATCAACTTTCAACCAATCAGAGGTTCAAACACCGCTCCACCTACCGAGGTTTTGACCCTCATATAATATGTGGCTCTTTGCTTACTGCACGAATGTGAACACGGTTGTTGAAAGCATTTCGAATTCGGGTACACTACAAATTTGATCGGTAGACTATTAGTGCTGCCAAGCTATATTGGTTGTCACCTGATGACCATTTTGTATATGGGTTGCTGCTACAGCTAAGCAAATCATCATTTTCTCATCAATAATGTCAGGTGTTCTTGTTCTCAGTTCAGACACCTTATGGAGTTTTGTCAAAATCTCGAATAACATTTCAGAAGAAAGTGTGAGATTATTTATCTTATAGATGGATAGAGTCATTGGTGAATCGAAGGCGACCACATTATTATCATTTGACTATCTGAGGTAGCCGTAGTTTCGCAGACTAGTATTTATGCTGGGTTATGATTGAAAGTGAGATGAAAATTTGAACCTTGGCCGGATTCGAACCAGAGACCACCGGGGTTTCCAGCCCGATACTCTACCAACTGAGCTACAAGGTTTAATATTGTTGTTATTATTTATCTGTAATGTGTATTTGTAGCAGTAGTAAACTTACTTTTAGTTTTGTATGAACTCAGGTTATTCAGCACTCTCTGGTGCTTTTAAACGTACAACGCTAAATACAAGCACCTAATGTTAGTTGGTTGGAGGCAGTCAGCAAGAAACTCTAGACCTAGGTTTCATGCTTGTTGGCACTCGTCAGCAAAGGAAATCTGCTACTTCGAGGAACTGGTATCCCCTCTGAAACTCGGGCCTGTGTCACCCAGTGTTACAGTCAGTGGTGTTACCACTGAGCTATTAGGGCAGGAATTTACCTCCTGTAAAACTGCATTACATGCACTGACCGGTAATTGGAAAGAAAACAATTTCATGTTATCCAGTCCTAAGTGTTGATGCGAGTTTGAGCCTCATAGAAGACATCAGTTTCCTCGAGGTTGCAGATACCCCTTGCTGACGAGTACCATTAATCAGTAAATCTAAGTTCAAAACTTCCTGCTGAACGCCTCCAACTAACTGACTTCTATCAAAGTGCGCAGCGTTAGTGAACCTCCTACCTTAGTGACCACATTACAAAATAATAACCAATAGGATTCGGCTTGGACTCAGGACTGGACAACACAAAATCGGTCGCTCTTCAGTCACTAGTCAGTACAAGGACCTTAATATTGTGTCACCATAATGGTGACCTTGTTTACCTTAAGCAGTCAAGTAAAAGTTTCGTAGAACCTTCTACAGAAGTGTCTTAGTTCAATTTCCCCCACACTTCACAGAACCTTACAAAGAAAAATCGAAGATTATTAGAGTGATATTGAGGTAAAGAAAAGTATTTGGGTGGAGATGGAATTTCAAAATAAGATTCTTCAAAACATCCAAACGTTGGAAAATATCAAAAAGTGAATGCGTTTGTTCGAATTGACCGATTATTTTACCCATTTCACCAAAATTCTCTCAGAAGTTATTGTGATTATCTTGAGGATGCCATCTAGCCACTCTCAATTTTGTCACGGCTCTCATATCAACAGGTATCTCTACTTGAAACTATAGATGTGATCTGTCAACATGCCGATCTCCTCCTTTCACAAACAATTGGATCAGGGAAGCTTCTAAAATGTACGGAAGGTGACAGTTCTATTTGATGGTATCCTATATCTTAAAGCTTGACGGAATAGCAATGGGCAGTCCACTAGGCTTTATATTGGCGGATCTTTTCATGGCCAACCTTATACTGAGAAAGCGAAAATGTGCAGGTGGTGAAACAACATCCTAACTCATATACATGAATGATACAATCATTGTATGTAAGAATTTACACCACGCACCACATCTGCTTGCACTAACCTCTATCTTCAGACTGTCTATTCTCTCACACAATTTTGTCTACCTTGATATCATTCCTTTTCTATCCACTTTTTCTTTGTTTACTTCTGTGAAGTGTGGCAACTTGAACTAATGCATCACTTATGTGCGAGGTTCTACGCTGATGTTGTCATTCCCCTCGGTGTCTTCAGTAGTCCATACAAAAACACTAACTTCACAATGGAACAAGAAGACAGTGGTAAACCCAACTTTCTTCATGACAGCATTTAAAGAAGAACTGATGGTACACTTCAAAGACCTATCCATAGAAAAGGTACACACAATTTCTCTTACCATAAATTTAACAGCTTCTGTCTAGTCAACTACAAAAAATCTAGTTAAGAATCTGTACAGCAAGAAGAATACGCTCAATAGATAAATTACAAGCGGAATTATTGCTTCTTAAGAAGTATCTTGAAGGAAATGGATACCCACAAAGATTCATCAATGGATATGACAGAAGAGAATGCAGTAAATTTGAGAAAACAACAGTCACCAAGAAACTGGTCTTCATTCAATTCGAATTCAATGGTAATGACACAGCTGTGATGATAAACCAAGGAAAGCACACCACATTGTCTGGGAAGCATCTCACAGTAGAACTAGTTCCCATGTCCTGATCTTCTTGCTCTCTGGGACGATCGAAATTCGAATGGTGCCACTCATATGTTACGTCCAATTGTGTGCATCAATTCACATGCAGTTGGTGAAGACTCTGAATTGGGAGAACAGAAAAAAGAGCTGAACTTCGACATTCTGAGATTGTCTCTCAGAGCCTACGATTGAGATGAGTGAGTGTCTTCATTAGTCCACGTGATAGGATTTAACAGCTATTAGGACACCAAGTAGGTGTCTGAGAATCGTTCAAGATTATCAACAAACAGACTAATTCAAGTCTTCTTCGCTTCACTGAAGCTATTGTATTGGTTTACCTGAAGTCAGATTTATATGTTCGAAAGAAGATTGTCGTCAGTCTTTCAGCTTTCCTTGTCACCCAATTTCTAAACCACATACTCATTTGGTCAAATCATTATGCTGCCATTAGATTTCCAGTCAACTCTAAAATCCGGTCATAATTAACTGAATCCTACTCATTATGTTCTATTACATTTTGATTTCTGACTACTACTAACTAATGTGGCCATTGACTTAATTAATTGCATGTCCTAAATTTCACAGTATTAGTTTTGCTGGATCCATCCAATTTTCCGAGAATTTTTCATTTTAGTAGGATGTATGTTTATGACATCATTACATGATATTTTGACTTTATTTCAATTCGGATGGTATCCTTACTTCACTATGTCGTAGTTTGTTTTTGTTAGTGATGTGACAGAACTGAAGTGGGTTAGTATTGTATTGTAATTTGTCATTGTTAATATTGTAGGAGGTGATTAGAAGAGGTGAAATAATAAAATGTATCCAAAATAACCTGCTACAGTGTTTGTTTCCATTCCCTTAATTTCATTTGTGCTGCTGCGACATCTTCGCACGTCCACTCGCAGCTTTCTTGACACCCTGTGATACCTCTATGAAAATTGCATTACCACTTGGGTCTTGGCCTGACATACTCCATACCTGTCTAATCCGCTTCAATCAGTTAAGTTTTTCAACCTCATCAGATGACTTGACTTCCTTTCTTCGCTTAACCTCAGCATTGCATCCAGATTAATTCTATCAAAAGTGAGTAGTGTTACAAGGACATTTATGTTCAAAAATCTGTAATCTCTTTGTATCTTTTATTTTTAACGGCTGTCTCAAAGACGTAATATAGGGTACAGCAGATCGCAGCGGGCTTCCCTGGTGGGCACTATTACTTGGCGCAGAATTCAATGAAATCCAACCTACATCTCTTTACATGGATACAAGACAGCTACGGTCCTCTTACCACAGTCAAAAACTGCTCCAACATCTTCTGATTGACAGAGTTAAATTCCATCTATAGATCAAGAAATATAGCAGGTATCGAGCGCCGATGCATTCTGTGCCTTAGCTGAATGTGTGCTTTAAATCAGAATTGATTTAAAGCCTCAGTGTTTACATAAAGAAAAGCGTACAGTCGTTTAATCGGATATGAATAACGTTAGTTTAGCTCACCAAGGATTTTAGTTATCCATCTGGTTTGGCTTAACAACCATATATCGAAATTTTCGAACTAGCCATTTCATCTAAAAACTTGACGTACGATCTGTGACAGAGTAATAGGACTTATAGATGTCTTAGCTGGTCTCGAAAAAATGAATATAGAGATGAAAATAGGTTGACTAAGCTTAAATAAAGTGGAAAACCCATACCCCATGAAATGACTATGACGCATGTGGGGTGGTGTATACACTAACAAGGTACAATACTACACTGATAAATTGTTATCTTGTTTCAACTGTAATGTTTGTCGATAACGAATTTGCAATAGTTTTACATCTGAATTCTTGAAAAACTGGTTTTTTGAGATCACAACTACGGTCCCATTGAACTTCATATACCAGTATCTGCCGATATCATTTTCAATTTGACTGTGATGAATTGAATAATTTCACATCTTCGTTCCACTGTTATTTGAAGCGTATAAGAAGATTGTTAATACATATTTGCGCTTGCTTAAGTTGTAGACACTACACATAGTATAATCTCTTTTATCCGTAATCATAGAAGGCTGAACAAAGATATACCTTGTTAGTCAGTTTTAAATGAACAGAGTTCATAAATCTATATTCAGGTGTGCACAGTCCAAACTAATTCTACTCATGTATGAATTTCTGTTATATGCCAGGTAGCAACATTAGCCCTCACATAATATGTGTTGCTCATCGCCTACTAAATGGTTATGCATAAGGTTGCTGAGTGCGTTTCGTTCGTTCGGTGACCGAAATATTTACTTGGTTAATATCGAATGTTAGTCAGTCCCTGTCATTATATTCAAGATTGAGTTTATCTAGACTAATAACCAAGTCTCAGACATTTTATGCAACCCAAATGAAACCAAATAAGCCTTCTGCATTCGACTAACAACCATTGTTCTTTATTTCTGGAACGTGATTTAAGGTTCTATCAAGTCATTCACACAAAACAACCGTTTACCAGCAGTAATAGACGTGACTGGTCGTCCATATCAGTACCAAAGGTTACAAGCGGTAATAACTTCAATTTTCTGTTTATTACTAGTGTCATCTTTATAGTGCTTGATAGTATGTATAGTAATCACCGGAGTTGGAACAGAATCGAATTTCATGTACAATTATCTTACATAATCCTTTCCTTTCAGGGAAATTTGGCATCAGTATATTACTGGTTTCATGAATACCACAAATACCGCGCACTGTTGCATAGTAATTAGCTCATTCATCTTGGTGACTAGCAGGGGAATTCAGGACGCCCGTTCCATCCTGTTTAGGATTCCTCATCTGCATGTAACTTCTCTTCAGTGAGTGATGTTGTTCCCACCAAAACATGAACCAAGCACCCGTCGCTTCAAACGCTGAGGCGTTATCCACTGTGGCACAGAAACCACCTCTTTTCCAAAGGGTATCAGTCATTGTTTTGGCACTTGTAATCTCAAGTTGTCAGAGTGAACTGAGTTGCCTAACTTCTGTCCACCGATGGGATCCTATGCGGATTTCTTGAAACTGCTGGATGTTCATGATTTTGTATTCATCTCACCGTATAGCAACGGGAAATTGCAATTATCAAAACAGCAACTGATGTCCTTTGCACGACAGATAGCTCCCGTGCCCCAGTAGCCTAGTGGATGTTTGAAACGACAGGTACTGGGTTCCAGTGGGAGAAACATTACTCACCAGAGTAGGGTATATACAACTTAAGAGTCCTAAATAAGACTAAACACGCACATGGATCCCATTACTAGCCATCAAGATAAACACAAAATCATCATTACCAGGCAGTATCGAGGCATTCGTATAGGACCTCATCTGCCAACGGAGGTCGAGCGATTCTGCATAGTAACGGGAAACAACACCTTTAGCAAAACAGCATGGAATCATTTTATTTAACGGTTTCTCATCAGCTTCTTGAGACCTAAAACACTTTACTAACCCAAGTTCACCACAAAATTTCGGAGAGCTAACCATTAATTAAAACAATACGAACACAAAACGGCACATGTTTTGTTGTATGTTTGTTCGAACACTGAATAAAAATGTTAACAAGGATTATTGAATAACCATAATTGAGAACAAGATGAGAACCAAAGCATTTCTTTTATAGACTAGTTGTACAAGTAATTTTATCTGTTCAGTGATTCAATAGATATTTGTTCGTATGTTTTGGTGCTGCTGATGATATGGATGTAGATATCTTGTCTTTATTGTATTTGTCGATTGTCCAATAACTGATGGAGATTCCGAATACCATGAATTCATGAGATTTACATCATTGTTTTCATTACTACTGTTATTGTTATCAGTAGTAATATTCATGTTGATGGCATTTGTAGATGTTTCGCCCAGTAATGGATTATTCGGATTACAATAAGCATTGAAATCAAACTGTTGAGATTTTTGTATTGGGTAGGATAAATCACTTTTTTGGTAGCACTTTGGCACTGATGATGAGGCAGAAGGTGGGAAAACCTGTACACTACATCCAGTTCCATTGACACCTGAGACCAAAACAGAGGAGATTGTTAGTCATTCGATGACATTACACTAAGTTGCTTTAGATAATGGATTTGTTGTTAAATAGAATGATCGTCATACTTTCTGAAAAGTTCAAGTATTTGGGTTTGATAACAACTTGACGTTTATCAGTGGCTATCTGAGGACAGTCACTTAATTTTTTCTAAGTTACCGACGCTGGTAGCGGTGAGACTGTAAGAATAACTTCATAACTTATATATGTCTAGAATTAGAGAAGCTTGTCAATTTTTGAAGAGTAATAGTTCACTTAGAGAATGAGTAAAGCTACTGATTGCCTTGAAAGATAGAAAATGCCTTAGTGTAATCAAGTGTATAATACATAACGGAAGTTAGTTATCAGCAAATTGAACTGAAGAAGAAATGGATCTTTTTCTAGTCAATCTTGGTCAGTAAACTAGTACTCACTGGACTGCAGATATACTTAGCCAGCTAATAACCTTAAAATGATGTGAAACAAATCTCGTATCTAATTGTTCACTATAAGATGACATCAAAAATACACAGATTAGTTATATTATTTAGTCAGACTATGATAGCTTTTCGCTTTCTTCTAATTAGAGACTTCTGAAGATTCTTGAATTACTGGTTGAAAAAGTCTTCTGTTTACCCTTGTCAACTTGATTTACGCGTTAAATTTTGCTTGCTGATGGAAAACCGTATACTTCAATCAGTTGATTATGAGATAACTTCATAAAATCTTTCTGCAACCCAAGTTTTTGCGTCACCATCAATCGTCAACACAAACAGTTTCACCAATCATGAATTGTAAATCGAAGACTTCAGTCGACAAATAACTATAATTTAACAACCGTCATTACTAAAGAGTAATCTAATATTTCTATCACAATTTTTTGTTTGCATATCAGTATGGAAATATAACTAAGAATCATTTCTCTGATGAAAATCCTCTCTTTAGTAAAAATTTGTTGACACTCGAAAGCAACATTAACCACTGTCTTCTTTACCTCTTCGAAAAAAGTGAGAATCAAAGGATTATTATCAGTTTTTATAAAAACAAGTGTTCCATTTTGAGTGTCTCAACAAACAAAGTTTATCATCCAGGATGAAAAGAGAAGATTTAAACTGTAGTAAACAGTGAACTACAAATGACATTGATGAGAAAATAACCTTATAGCAACTTCACCTATACCTGTATTACTGATATTTCTGGCATCCTTGTATTGCATTGACCAAGATTCTTTTTTATTCAGCGAAACAGTATGGTGTAAAGGTTTTTGACATAAAGCATCCAATTCTTCATTTCCTGGTACAATTGATGATGTTTTCATTGTAGATTTTGATTGTTGAGGAAGATTGACACTTCGTGATTGGTGTGTTTGGTGATAAATTGCTATGAATATTAAGGTGTTGAGCAGAAATAATATTGAACCTGCTCCGATAATCCATAATAAAGTTGAGTGAGAATACGATGAATACCCTGATATTAAAAACTGTGAATTTGACTGGATCTCTTTGTCTAGGCTTTCAATGTTTGAATGAAATTCTACTGATGAGTTGAAGTTGACCAACAAATTATTGTTTTCAGATGTTGACATTACCACAGTATTGGAGTAATCATCATTTCCCTATGAAGTAATTGGAAACATAACAAGAAGAATAATTATAAGATAATCTACTTCAGATGCTATTTGATTCCTGGATAGTTTTCATCATTGGCTCATGTCTATTCGATAACCACCAGGACTAGTGTTCAATAAACAGCTGTAATGTCACAGTTTAAGACACCTTCCTAAAGTTCCTTAATGATTGAATACAGGATTTAGCTGCATACGTCAAGTCTTGTAATGAACAGGTTACAGTTCGACTACTGGGTCAGAACTCAATAGTCTGCTTACTTAAACTTCTTTCATTTCACGATATAATGTTGGCATCACGAGGTAATCACAAGTCACCACTTACCACTAGAAATTCAGGAGATCTATCATAAGGAAAAACTGAATACATAGGAATAATTCATTTTATTATGTTAAAATTCATATAACTAGCAGCCTAAAACTGAGTTCCTATATTTGCCAACTTCCCAGATCTCTTGAAGACCACGTAACTCTTATTTTTCAACTATGGGTTCAAAACACGTTTGTTCAATTTCTCATTTCGCTTTTGATATGATGTATTTGATCAGTGAACAGTCACGTATGGTCTCTCTTTTCCAATTGTCCTCACAATATATTTCTTTTTCACATTATATTCACCCCGAACTTGTGGCTTCATTTTTCCCTACCACGAAACTCGACTGACAGTGTTACGTCATTCGACTTAATACTATTTCTGGGGTCAACAAATTCATGTGTAATAGTGAATACTAGACGACGATGTGTAGTGGTGGTCATCTTACTTAACAGACTTACGATGGTTGGAAACATGTGACACTGCAGTCCAACTCTGCGGTTGAATGAGAGTGTGCTGACACCAAGAAAAGATAGTTCTCTGCTCGATATCTGATGGTGGCATGGGAGCGTACTAGTGAGGGTCAGCAAACTAATACGAAGTAGCTATCTGGTACTCTATAGTTTTAAATGGTTCTCAGAATGTTTCCAAACCACCATAACGAAAATTTATTTTGAAAGAGCACTCATAAACATGTGATGATAATTTGCAGAGTTGAATAACCGCTGAAATACATTGTACTGGTCTGCCTACTTTTTATTCATGAAAGCAAATGAAGCATGGAGTGTTGAAAGCTTCCTTATCTACTTATTTTAATCTACGAATATCTCAAAATACTGATCAAAACATCTGGATTGTTGATTCAATTATCAGTTTGCAACGAATTGACTGTAATTTGGTGAAAATGATAAAAATATAATTTCAGATGTGATATGATTTGCAACTTTTGGGAAATAGTTGGTCAGTTTCATCTTGAAAAAAAAATATAGCCGAAAATTACTAACTAGTTGAAAAAATTCTGTAAACAATTGAATTTCGGCTTGTTTAGTTCATATACTCACTGACCATATATGGTAAAAGTTGTGGACCATAAATAGTTATGCCAATTTTTAAATTATTTTCAAGTGTCAAGCCGAGTATACGAGGCTAGTCAATTTAGAGGGTATCAGAAAAGGGCTGCATTTATCCTCGTTGAATAGATAACATTCATGAGACGCTTGCGTAAAGTTGTTGCTCAGGTGGATGATTTTGGTGGTGCTACATTCTCTTAGATTGATGTTTTAATCGCAAAACTTTCATCATCTATTTGGACAATACCAACATTAAGTGCAATATAAAGTAAGTTATTGGGATTTCTTTGGGTTTCAGTAGCCTATCTTAACGGGGTAGCGTGTGGTTGGTAGTTTTATTGATCACTGTACCACAGAATTTCCTGTTAATCAAATCTCTAACTATCTCCTAACCTTGTTGTATATGTTACGTTTTCTTCATAGAAAAGTGGGGTCTGTTTCTTTACACCTCTTGATTACACTGCTTGAAAGGAGTGCCAACCTTTTAGATAGTTCAAGATTTCTGTGTAAAAAAAGTCAAATTTATGTTCACAGTTGCCCACATACACTGAAATAGTAGATGATACGCCGTTTCGTCACATTACCAACTGATGTTCGCTCAAACGAAGATGATTATGAAGGAGTACGTTGTAGTGTATATTACAGTGACAGCAACTAACTTTGTAAATTATATTTGGTTTGTCTTCCTTAACTGTTATTTTCATCGGAGTACATAATGTAACATGGAGAAAATGTTTGGTCTTATGCACTATATCAGTGTCAATTAATCTGAGTAGTTCTGTCAACTGGTGTCTTACGTTGGGAACTCCCAGTTCCTTAAAGAAATGCATAGATGTAATAATTTCGGTTTGGAGGTTTTCGGGGATTTATTTATTGATTTGAAGTTATTATTCACCATGGAATGACATCAGATGTAGAACCACTGGAAACGTGAGAACTGGATAGCTGTTTCGCCGTGGCATAGGACTCTTCAGTAGTACGCAGGCATGACTACGCCAGGTATGGAACCTAGGATTTTCACCTTCCACACCCAGCACGTCACCAATAGACCACTTGGTTGGAATCTAGGGTCCAAATTTTCCTACTCCTGAATACCGACTTGAAATCAACAAAATCCCTATAAACCTTCAGACTAAAGATACTCTCTAATATCCATTAGTGACTTTCTTCAAGATGAGATACCTCAAGTTCTAATGAGAAGTCACGGCCTGTGTTGTGAAAATCAAGTCGGGCACGCGGACAGTTACTCAACGATGGCACTAGATAGATGATGCGCTATATCGTGAACTGACGGAAGTAGGAAAATGTAGACTATTGACTTTCGACCCAAGTGGCTCAACTGTAACGTGCCGGTCGCGGTACCTGAAGGTCCTGGATTCTATCGCCGGGGGATCTTAGATTCACACTGCTGAGGCGCCTATACTGGACAAAAACAGCCGTTCAGTGCTCCCAGGTTTTCAGTGCTTCTCCACTTCATATCGGTTGGTGATGAATACCAAGTAAATTATTATGTTATTGTTTATCCCTTGGGTTCCTAATGGAACATAGGGCTTCAGTAACACGTCTCCATTCCACTATGTTCTCTGAAAGCTTTTCAACCTGCATCCACGACTGCCCACAAGCTCTCATTTCCTCCTCACACCATCTCCTCCATGTCACCCTCGGCACCAACGCCCAACTCGTCGCTTCCCATCTGGGTTTCGCTCAACGGCCTGGCCTGACACGTGATGTCCCCAGTAGGCCTTCCCAGTAAATATAAGTGAAAAACTTGGGCACTGTGGTAGAATGTAGTTCCATATTAGATTTGTTTATTTGATATAAAGCGCACAGTGATACAGTATTATTTAATTGATCAATTAAATAATACTGTATCACTGTGCGCTTTATATCAAATAAACAAATCTAATATGGAACTTCCCAGTAAATGCACAATCCATCTCCATTTCCTTCCACTGCATATTTGTTCTGCGATAGGTTCTTGTTTGGTTTGTCACCAGCCAGAGTTCCTTGTTGCTTATTCTCACTATTCTGGCCATCTGATCTGATCTTCTATACCGAGCCAGTGTAGACAGTTGTTGGTGGATGTCTGCAGTTTGTTGGAAATCCCTTTCGTAACGCACCGAGTCTCTCACCCATCACATGGAAGCACTGACTTACTCAACTGACATAGTGTTGAAAATCCGGATCTTGTTCCACATGCTGAGTGCAGTGCAGTAGATCTGCACACTGGTTTCAGGTTAATGAAGGGAGGCCTGTCTTGCTGTCTTTCCGATGCTGGCTGGCTTTGACTTCCTCATCTGTGCCGCCTGTAGTTGAAACGATGCTGCCTAGGAGGGTGGGTGAAGGAGGCTACTTCCTTTAAGTTTCTGCTATTGATAGTGATTGGAGGTTCTTGTTGTTGTTGTTGGTTGGGTATCTTCATCACCTCTGTCTTCTCTACGTTCACATAAAGTCCCGTCTTCACTGCCCCGCCCTGCCCTACCCTGCCTCTTCTGTCAACTTGTTGAATTTTGCCTCTAGATCATCAAGTTTGTGTGATATCAAACACAAGTCATTACAGGTGAAATCCAAATCTTCTAGGATCCTTTCCCGGTCCAGCCAGCGTATCCCCCTCTTCTCTCCCCTCACTGTCTGCTGCATGATCCAGTCCACCACAATCAGGAATATCATGGAGGATAGTAGGCAACCTTGTTTCACTCCTGTCTTCACTTCACTTCACTGCAAAGGCATCACTGAGCTTCCCATTGTGAATTGTTTGGCATGTAGTGTCTTCATATAGTTGTTGAATGAGGCGGATAAAGTTTTGCGGTATTCCGTAGTATTGTAGCAGCTTCCAAATAACCTCTCAGTCGACGCTGTCAAAGGCCTTCTCAAAGTCGATAAAGTTGAGGTGTAGAGTTGACTGCCATTCTATACTATGTTCTATCATGATGCGAAGAGTTGCAATTTGGTCTGCACATGATTTGTACTTCCTGAAGACAGTCAGCCTGTTCCGATCATAATTTTGAATCCAGTGCATCCTTTAGCCTCTCCAGGATGATGCGGCTTAATATTTTACTTGGGGTGGACAGGAGAGTGATTCCGTGCCAGTTCTTGAAAACACTGAGGTCTCCCTTCTTCTGGAGTTTCATAAGGTAACCCTTCTTCCAGTCAATAGGCAGGTACCTTCCCTTCCTTCCACACCCTCAGCATCAGTGGTGTGAGCATGTCCGCTGTTGTCTCTGTGTCTGTTCTCAGTGCTTATGGCGGGAACCCATCTGGTCCTGTTGCTTTCCCACGTTTCAGTAGCTTTGTAGTGCTCAGTACTTCCACTTTTGTTGGGAGATTTGTGTTCCCTTGTAGTTCTGTGGCTGCAGACGGTATTTCTGGACGAAGTGCAGATGGTGGTGGTGGTGGTCGATTCAAGAGCTTCTTGAAGTGGTCAGCCCATTGTTTCCTTTGTTTCTCTTCTTTCGTAATTAAATTTTTATCATCACCTTTCATTGGTTTCGTCTGCGATGATCCCTTCCCAGATAGTAACCTGGTTATTTGATACAATGTTATCAGGTCTGTCCTACGTGCAGCCTGTTCTGCTTCACTTGCCAGTGTGTCGTAGAAGTATCTTTTGTCTTACGTACATTCTTCTTCACTTTGTTCAGTGTTTTATACATTGTACTCAGTTCCTCTTGTCGTTGTGCATCCTTGCACTGGTTTATCTCCTGCTTCACCATCCTCCGCTCCCTGCTCTATCAGCTTCCAGGTATCCATCGAGATCCATTCCTTATCTTCTTTCTTCTTCCTTCCTAATATGGCTGTGCAGGTTTGTTTCCACATCTCTTTCAAAGACTTCTAGTGTATTTCCACACAGGTCTCTTCAGGAATGTTCCTCGATATCTCCCATTTTGTCTTGATGGCTGAAGTGAAGATCTCCTTTGTAGTTTCATCCTTCAGTTTCCGAGTGTTTTACTTGAACTGCGGTCTATTACAAACCTCCTTTGAAGGCTTTCAACTTGGTTTGGAAGGTTTCTTGCACTAGATAATGAGTGGTGTGAACTTACCTTCATCTGCTCCCCTTCTTGATTTTGTGTCAAGTAGACTGCGTCTCCACTTTCTTCACATTGAGATGAAGTCGATCTGGCTTTTAGTGTATCTTGGTGTCCGATGAATTCTACGTCGCTTTGTGGATATCCTTGTGCTTGAACACAGTGCCTCCAATCACCAAATCGTTGAATGCACAGAATTCTGCAAACAGTTCTCCATTCTCGTTCATCACCTCACCGAGCGCTTCTCGACCCATGGTTAGTTCTCTTCCTGTGTTGTCCCCTCCCAGTTTGGCATTCATGTCGCCCATTAGAATTTTTATATCGCCAACTGACGTCTTGTCCAGTGTTGATTGCAGTTGTCTGTAGAATTCTTCCTTTTTCTCTTGCTCTGCATTATTTGTAGGTGCATAACATTGTATGATTGTGACCTTTCTTCCTTTTGAGTTGAACCTTGCTGTCATGATCCTGCAGAAGGAGATTGGTTCCCACTGCATGAGAGCTTCAGATGTTCTTCAAGGGGACATCATGATAGCCACTCCATAACTCAGTGTGCTCGTGGTTGTCGTCTGGGTGACAATATCGGGGTAGATTATTGATTCTCCAGTTGACAGTTTGGATAGCCCACTTCTATTCCTCTGCTTTCGCAAATTCCTTACACTTCGATGTGATACCTTCTCATCTCGTTTGCAATCTGGGCTGCCTTGCTAGGTTCAAACATGGTTCGGACATTTCATGTCCCCACGTTTACTTTCACTTTCATCGAGAGAAGACACATCGGCCAATTGGCTTCCCGAAGGCTTTCACCAACTGGCGTCATTTCGTCCCTCCGATTCCAACGAGGAATAATTTTGTTTTTATTTTTTATATTTCGTTTGTGCTTTGAAGTTTCTTTAGCGGTTAGATTTGTTTTACGGGGTAGGGTTGCTAGCCCTATGCCCAACCTTCCCTTTTTAACCACGCTTAGGACCGGCTAGTAACTAGTGAACTAGTTAATCAGGCGAGGTTGACATTTCCAATAAACACACTAAAATAGAATTAAAATCGACCCCAGTGCTCAAGTCTTAATCCTATATTCGTTTTGATAAGCATTGTCTACTTGCTTACGGTGAACTAATTAACCAGGCGAGGTTATACCAAGTAGATACATCTTGGTAAAGTTTCATCAATAAAAACTCCTGTTTAAGACAATCATTAAATAATGCCCTGCATTTCTCTGAATGGCTGCTGTAAAGTAGTATGCTGTTTACTTCTGAGTGATGTCTTTGGTAAATAGTTTCCTGTATCTCTGTTTAGTTGCTTCTGTTGTGCAGAATTTCATCAGTATATATTGACTTCCAGTATGCTTAAGTTTCCTGTTTTTTCTACTCATTGAAATATCTAAGAATAGCAGCTCGTTCTTGGATTTCCGTCTTAATGTCAGTTGAGTATTATCTAAAACGTTACTGGTCAGATTCTGAATGTTTCGCCATCAGCCTCTTTTAGTGACAACAAAAGTGTCATCCTTACAGTGGGTCAAAATATATTCTTTTGGATCAATAATAAAACGATGATTTAATATCTCTGCATTACTGCTTCGGTATTTAGTCCAGATATCACTGGTCCCATTGAACTCGCTGTCTTCTGTGTCTTGACCTTACCCGTGGATTGGTATGGTATCACACAATAAATCGGTGAACTTCTCTGTGTCCATTAATTTTACCTCGTGCATGTGTAGGAGAGACCCAATACTTCCTTGAAATCAATCAATCCCCACGAACTCCTCCACTGAATAACTTCCTGATGATCATTAGTGATGTGTTTTGATATGAATTTCCCGAAGTTCTTATGAAAAGCCATGACCTGTTGAGTAATCTAGGTCTGGTTTGAGAAGAAATACTCACCAATGACATTGGATAATGGTCACACTATATTGCGAATTGACAGACTCAGAAAAATGTGCACCAAAGGGTTGGGATCCAGTGGCTAGGTGGCAATATTTTCGCCGCGAGTTCTGACCGTCCTGGGTCCGACCCTTTTCGAACTCGTAGCTGCGCATTATTGATAAGTGTTATACTAGGATGAAACAGATGTCCAACGCTCGCAGGTTCTCAGTGTTTCTGAAACTGTTTTCATTCCACTGCTAGGCACCAAATAAGTTGTGACAAGAATCACTTTTTCTATCAAAGAGGTTAAATAATTAAGAGTTTTAAACATCACTTTAGAGCACGATAATCATTCGCTGTATCATAGTCGTTTTCATGGTATTAGGTCTCTAGTGAAAAGCAAATACTATTGTGGTGCACAGTTCTGTGTGTTGAGTTATAATTTTACTATCGTCACATTGAATATTTTGGCTTCAAGGAGATACATTACAAAGTCAATTGACAGAATTCAATAAGCGCTAAGTATTAGACTAAGTAGCATATGTTACCATCAAGTGACCAACTAGTGTCCTTTGTCCATTACTCGCTTCTCTTATGGCTCAGCTGCAAAGTTTCTGACTGTAGTGTTTATTGGTACCAAGTTTATTTTCTGAGACATTTATAATTCCCTTGAAGCTAAAAATAATTTTAATTTGCTTTCAGCAATACCCACCAGACCTAGATGAGTTAGCACATTCAATACAATCATCCACATTTATAAAGCATTCGAACCAATATATTCAGTGTACCACAGTGAACGATATAGTATATAATATTGTTTCTTTGTGTGATACATCTTATAAACCAAATAAAAATCCCATAGACGGAGGTCTACTCGTATATTAAAGCAAAAGCCAGAGGTAAATGTTACGTTTAAACTTACACTTTCTGTATACAAAGGTAGCTGACTAAAATTAACTGCATAGGATACCTCTGAAGTATTTATATATGCTTGAAAAGGTTTGTTATCCTCAACAAATTTCGCTGAACACATCACATTTTGATCGTTATATTGTACTGAGTCTATAGTAGATTTCTTCTCATTCCCCTGATCATTTAACCAGTTTTCTTGTTTTAATCGAAGAAAATAAAAGTATTCATTGAATAAGTGTTGTTTATAATGTGAAGGTTGTTCAGTATTTTCTTTATTTCTATCTTGATTGAATCCAGTAGAAAAAGAATCATGCGATTTAGCTAAGTATGTTAGACGGGGAAATAATTTAGACCATATTTTATGCTTGTGATTTTCATAGAACTGTTCAATTGTAAATAAATTTTGCTCATTTTTCTCAGTATTTTCCCATAAATTACGAAAATGCCTTCTTGTTTGATCAAATGATTGTTTTTTTTTAAATTCACTACCTATAGGGATAATACAGTTTAGAAGTGGTTGATGTGATTACATGACATACATTTTAAGTTAGAAATGCATGTATTAAAGATTAGCTGCACTTCAGCCTGGATATAATATACCTTTAACAAAGCACATGAAGTATTGCCATTTACGCAGATTAGTCAAGCCACGACATCTGCTTCAAATTCACGTATCCACCATTTTGACTTTCGAGGCAATTAATTCACCATTACAGTTCAATGTATTTCGTATTCGATAGATATGTGTAAACTTATTACTGTATTCTGCAAAAACAACAAAACATCCACACATTCTTAGATTGTATGTAATCCACAAAACTATATAGGTCTAGATTTCTTGTTTACTTCCACTTGACTGTTAGGAATACATGCAACTTCAAGAGAACTGTTGTCTGCTGAAAGATTCGATGCCGTACCATAGAGTGTTAGAGTCAGATATTATCACCAGAGTATTTGAACCAAAAAATGTTTACTTAGATATACCGCAGCATACTAATAGTGGAGAGTGGCTTAGAGTGGAATCTAAGAGGCTAGTTAAATCCTATTTGGGACTTTTCTACTGCATGTACCAACCTTCCAGTGAGCTATATTAGCTACCAGAGACTTAATCTCAGTACCTAAGGCTATAAATGCTAGAGCGTTGCACAATAAGCTATTGAGTCACGCAAGCTGCTCTTTGTTTGGTGGGTGTAGTTTTATGTTATAATAGAAAAGATCTATAGCTCAGGATAACAGACAGACAAAATTAACATAGGACCTCGCACACAAATACGTCGGCTCAAGTTGCCACACTTCACAGTAGTACACAAAGAACAGGTGGATAGAAAAAGACTGATATCAAAGCAGACAAAGTTATGTGAGAGAATAAATAAGCTGAGGATAAAGTTTAGTGCGAATATTCAAGTTTTAGATTTCAAGAAGTGAATGCATCTACGCAATTGTGACCGATTTTCAGCCATGTCACCAAGAATCCTCAACCACTGGTTTCCCTTGGCTCACAGGCCCCAGCCAGGTAGTCTTCATTTCCCCAGACACTTAGGAACTTGACAAACCGATACCGCATCTTTATGTGGCAATCTTGAACCCTCTTTTAAGCTGAGGGTGACAAATGTTTGTTGTTCTACGTGCTTTGAGCTTTGTTCCTGAATGTTTCACCACCAGGCTTGTTGACTTCATTAGGAGTGATTTGTGCATGGAGTAAATACCGATGAAGTCGCCTAGTCTGGTGATGAAACGTCCAAGAACAAACCTCAAAGCATGGAGAACACCAAACGATTATCTCATTTTTATATTTATGGCTTATATGTTTCATGTCACTGGTTTAAATTAAATGATCGGTTTTATTGTCATACAGGCCTCCATGCAGACACGTCGGTATTGCCTGTAACTGAGTTTTCGCACTTGCACACTTTTTCATTATTTTGTCCAGTCCTAGTGAGCAAAAATATCGAGACATCCTCAGTGGAGCCCATATATCAATTGGAGTCCATCCATTTCCAACGATAGGAATATATAAGCTGTAACTTACCTTCGGTAGATTTTAAAATTAGATTTATGAGTTCAGTGGAAAGTTGCTTGTTGATATATGTTGTGCCTGTCAAATATTAGAAATTTGGAAGTACTATAATATTTTTTTTATCTCCCATTGTTTAAGGATACTGTAGGGTGGTGGTAGTAAAGTTCTATTTAGTATTTCCCTTTAGTCATCCATATTTAAGAGTACTCGCTCGTGATAGAATAAAACTACCGCCCTACATCCATTCATACGAATTCATTGGCCACTGAATTACCCCTATATAATGTTTGAATGACTATTTATTATCTGAAGGGTGAATCGAAATTACTTCATCAGAAGCATACTTTTTATCACTAATGGACTGGTGCTTTCTACAATCTTAGTACTCTTGGAAACTATATACGTTTAGCTTGGTTAGCAGTCTTGTCTTTTGAAATTCATTCAGTTATATTTAGGGATAGTCCCCACTTGATCACCGTGAGTTAGTTGTCTAAAGTCATCAAGAAAGTTTCGAAGATATACTATATGGTGTAATATACACTTAACTGACATCATCACAGTATTGTATACCTATATAGAAGATACAGTTACAGTATTAAGAAACACGTTTTGTCATTTTTATTAAAGAAAGGTTGACAGTCTAATTCATTCTCATAAACACAATTTATTTATTAGAAATAATCGAATTTTTATCAAACTGTTTTAATTACGTTGTTGCCTAGATGGCATTCAAAATATTTATGCAAAAACAACCAACCTTAAGGGATAGTACCATCAGAAAAGATGCATCCTATCTATAGGAAGAAATAATTTTAACTTGTTCTACTAAGAGTTTCCATGCATATCTTTTTTAATGTACCGCGATTTCCGGATAAATGACTTTTTTACTTGTTGGATGAATGAGAAGATATTTCCATACAACTCAGAGAAGTTGTCTAGTTAGCTATCGTACACTGGTCATATGAAAAGCTTGATAATCAAACAGAGACTTAACTCTGTCATCAATAAAAAATACTATGCTGCGAAGTTCCGGATAACTGGAAATCCAGAGCCTGTGTACTCCCCGAAGCCCTTGGAGCAGATGAAAAAAGTCACTTCCTATCGTGTTGACCAACTGAAATCTACATGTAGTCACACATGTATAGGGAGGACTCATCAGTCACTGAAACTAAAGACCACAGAACATATTCCAGAGTTGTTTCAGAAACAGAGTCGCCTGGCCCAATTGATGCTGGGAACAAACGCCCGAGCTCCTCAGTAGCTAAGCGTATTATTGAAACGGCGCATAAAACTTGTTTGCAAACTTCATTTAAGCCCATCTATTAGACCAGTTGGAGATGTATTTTAAAGTTCATTTAAGCATGAGCCATTAGGATGTTTAAACCATCTGTATGCTTACGAAAACAATTTGTCATAACATCAAACCTCCCTTGTCAAATTTGGCTTTAAACCTAAGGTTGTCGTATGGTTAAGATTTTCAGTTTGACTATCTGAGGTAACCATAGTCCATCAGACTTAGATTGGTAGTGTATCGGATTAGGATGAGAATTCCTGAGTACGATCAACCCTTAGTAAAGCGTCATGAATTCACATGATAGTTGGGCAAAACCCTTGGTGAGTGAAGTGAGATGAAAATTTGGTCAGCAGTTGAGTCCCGTGCCTCAGCTGGTCAAATACCAGCCCAGAAACCCAGTAGTCAATGGTTCGAAGCCTATAGCGGAGTAAATTCTCATCTCACCTCCAACCATCACCCTGCACCAAGAGTTTGTTGTTGTTGCTTTAATGACCGTCATTGTTATTTTCACCTTCACTGTAGACTTTTCGTTTGATAGATAATTATTTGACTACATCTTAACTCTGGAACTTTTCATATAAATCCCAATGAGAAGTACGTGTACGTCATCAGATTATTTGAAATGTGTTGAGCAAATACATTACACAATCCAAACAAATTACGTGTTCTGACTGTTTTGTTAAAAATGGCTATATTGTGTTGAAATATTTTTAAAGAAAATAATGGATGTAGCATAAAATTACGAAGCATACTAACCAATAGGTATTTACTTTCCAACCTTTCAAACAACCAGCATGAATCTCGTATCTGTAAGTAACATTATATACTCACTGTGTTAAATAACAGTAAGTCATTACATTTAAGCTTAAAAAGGATCAATTTCACTTCTTACCAACGTTCAGATGATGTTTTGAATGGGGAGTATATTCTGGCCAATGAATTGGTATTTTCTTTGTTCGATGTCCAAGAAATTCTTTATTTGGATCACTTTAAATAATCAAGATAAGTGTATAAAGTATTTTCTATTTACTTTTTTTTTACAGGTAATCTATACTTATTTTCTAATGAACAGTTGAAAAGAAGAAACGTTAGATTTGTATTAGAAGTCAACAGAGGTGGTCTTAATCTAGTGAAACTACTGGTAAGATTATATTATTATTATTATTTGCCCCTTAGGTTATTTTTGGAACATAAGGCTTCAGTAGCACGTCTATATTTCACTCTCTTCTCTGAAATCTTTTGAACCTGGCTCCATGACTACTCTTAAGCTCTCATTTCTTCTTCACACGATCTCCTCCATGTTAATCGAAGTTACTGTTAAGATTAACTCACCAAATAATAATAATAAATAATTGGTCTATGAACAAATCACCAGAATTATGATCAAAGTAGATATTTCTTTGAATAGTGGGATACAAACCCATCGACTAAGCTTGTTATGTCATCAGTAATTTAGTTAAGGAACACAGCACTATAGAACACCACGTTTTCGTGTTAAATCTCAACATTCAATTTAAAGAAAGACCTTCTTAACCTGAGTTTCGAGTTTGCTGGCACTGATACACAAGTTGAGCTTCTCTAAGATTCCAGATAATCCTTTCTAAGCACTTACAATTGAGGTAGAGGACATCAAGATATATCGCATCAAGTTGGCTATCATTTCCAGATATGAACGCAAACAAAACTTCGCACTACACTCTTTCTACAAAACTTCTTACTAAGCAGTAATATGAGTGAAATTTGTTATGTTTCCAAGATATATCATAATGTTCAGAACTGGCTTTATTACTTGAATATTTAGCCTGTTATTACGCAGTACTGTTGCCTATTTTGTGTTGGTTAGTTTTGAAAATGTAACTCCTCAATATGATTGTAATAACCCACACTTTTATTTTAGCACAATCATACATAATTAACCATTTTTCAGAGATTCCTCAGGTAAACTGAAGAAAGGAATAACATTAATTCTCAATGAAACACCTACCTCAGAGAATAAAAATAGCTCTAAGGATTCAGAGCAATTTTCTTTTGTAATACAATATAACATTGTTCATTTTAGCTGTTTCCAGATGTCAAACAGTCAAGTATTTTCTTAGTTATCATTTAAATGTGTATATCTAATTTTGTAGTCTTTTATTTTGCGTCATATTATGTAACCGTCTCATCTGTCGGTGGCGTGAGATTTAAAGTCTATACTTACCTAACAACTTTGGATGCAGAACTGCACAGTATTTGAAGGTAATGTTGATAAACAGCGCAGAATTACTTATGGTGCTAAATTATTGAACTTTTGAATATAAACCATCACGAATGCGGAATACGCCAATCAGGGATCCAACCCAGGACCTTCCTGACTCACGATGAACACAGTTACCTAGCCACTGAAGCGGAATCCTGTCATTCTTATTTTAATAACTTTCTAAATCCTAAATGTGATACAAAAATATTAGGATACCACTGGCAATTAATTTTCCTCATACAGGACTTCATTGACTCCACAATTCAAAGTTTCTCATAAAAACTTCAAGCACACCATCTGAAAACAAACCACTCATGAACACTAACTGAATGAATGGGTTTGTGGAGGTTGATTGGGCCTAGACGCTGTTCAGTAAAGCGCGAAGAATACGCTCAACAGATAAATTACAAGCAGAATTATTGCTTCTTAAGAAGTATCTTGAAGAAAATGGACACCCACAAAGATTCATCAATGGATATAGCAGAAGAGAATGCAGTTAATTTGAGAAAACAACAGTCACCAAGAAACTGGTCTTCATTCAATTCGAATTCAATGGTAATGACACAGCTGTGATGATAAACCAAGGAAAGCACACCACATTGTCTGGGAAGCATCTCACAGTAGAACTAGTTCCCATGTCCTGATCTTCTTGCTCTCTGGGACGATCGAAATTCGAATGGTGCCACTCATATGTTACGTCCAATTGTGTGCATCAATTCACATGCAGTTGGTGAAGACTCTGAATTGGGAGAACAGAAAAAAGAGCTGAACTTCGACATTCTGAGATTGTCTCTCAGAGCCTACGATTGAGATGAGTGAGTGTCTTCATTAGTCCACGTGATAGGATTTAACAGACATTAGGACACCAAGTAGGTGTCTGGGAATCGTTCAAGATTATCAACAAACAGACTAATTCAAGTCTTCTTCGCTTCACTGAAGCTATTGTATTGGTTTACCTGAAGTCAGATTTATATGTTCGAAAGAAGATTGTCGTCAGTCTTTCAGCTTTCCTTGTCACCTAACTTGATAAAACAAACTATATGCATGGAATAATATACAACAGTTGTTTAAAAAACAGTCGATCTGTTTAACTCTTGGGCTACCAGAAAACGTTTACACCTATTGTATTCCATCAATTTCTTTCCTTTCAGTTTGTTTTAATCTTTTCAATATCTTTTGAAGGCATAATGTACTTTCGCACATTTTGTAAGATATCTAAAGTACTGGAGGAGCAACGGAAATCGAAAATCCTTTATATCCTTGGATTCAGCGTAGTACACAGGTAACAAAATGATCTTATTCAAAGCATCAGAACTTCAAAGTATCGGTTGATGAGACATAATGAACTCGCCCATTTTTTTACAGACTGATCTTACTGTAACTAAAGCTAATACTCTTGAGAATTGGGTTCCTTTCACAAAAATGAACATCAAGTGTGTACGTTGCATCAATAAATTACGAGTATTGCATAATCATCTTATCGAAAATCAATTTATCACTTTAAGATAGTGACAGAACGAAAACAGCTAGTTTAATAGAACCAGTTTGATCCCTCAGTCTTAACTGTGCAATCTAAACGTCCCCATATAACCCAGTCAGAGAAGCACAACCTATTACCATTTCTCCTGTTAGTCATGATAAACTCTTGTCCTATTAGCAACTTAGGAGCTCTATGGGTATTTACCAGTCGTGTTGCAGTAACAACGAATCACAGTTGTCTGAGTCCTTTGCATTCATCTTCGTGCAACACATGACATATAGTGACATTATTGGTATAATGTTTAATTACTTACCCATAATATATGAAATTCGTCAAGTAGCTCATAAGACTAACAGATATCTTTTTATCAGTTTCCGTGAAACTATTAGCGAACGGTTCAAGCTGATTTGGACTGACAAATGGTGCGCCGAGTAAGTAAGGTAGATCATCACCAAAACCAACTTTATCCATCCGATTATCCTTGCCATTGAACATTTCATGCCTTAAAAATTGTTTAGATGACTTATAATTGAAGAAAAGAGCATATGTAGACTTCTTATTTTTACCAATACTGGCTTCTGGTGCCTTTGGAAAAGCAGTCACTGTTTTTCGCTTGGGAAATAATGATGTCGAAGAGGTTGAAGGCTGTTGTGTTCCCTTGTCAGTTTCCTGATTTGCTTGATGATTAGCATGCATATTCATTGTTTGCATTATTGGAGCAATGTATAATCCATCAGATAATATATCTTGTATTTTCTATAGTTTGTTATTGAAAATAGGAAAGATAACAAGGAAAAGGGTTCTGTAAATATTTGGGAACAGATTTTTAAAAAAGCAACGGAAGCATATGAAGCAGGATTTTGGTCAGTTTATGGATTTCTCCAGAACTCTTCAGCTTGACACTTTACATACTTGGTTACAGATGCTAAGATGTAATCTAGGGTGATATATATATGCATTTGATATTAGGATGAACAGTCTGATTACACGTTTACCAGTCAAGACATTTTTATATTGTTCACAATTAGCTGTGCAAATACATCACATTTCTTAGTTAAACTCCTGTTTATTATATATATACAATACAAATTAACAAAAGGAGTAACTTCCAGGCATTTGAAATTGTTACTTAGGCAAGTCAAGTGCTACCATCATTTCTTCCTGTACACAAACGGTTAGTTTGAGTAAATGAATTCCGCAGACGCCTATGACTGCAAGCAGTTTGTCCTTCCATTGTCTTTTGACCACTATGAATGACTTGATATAGATTAAATCATGCCTAAAGTCCTGGAGATGATCGATTATAAAACTTCATGAAAATCTTCACTTCAAAAAGACCTAACCATTCACATAACTCCTTAATCAGTAGAAACCAGCAAACTAAGAAGGTAATCACGAACTTAGTCAAATTTCACAGATAAAGCTCATTTTTGTTAGATTCTTAAAATGTGTTTCATGCCACCAAAAGCCATTTTTCACTTATTCTGTGTAATTTAATTACGTGGGTTATGATCTGTACTTCGGTATCTGTTTCAAATAGTTATAAACAGGTGGTAGCAAAACTTTGAAGTTGAACCTACCGCTTGGTGCCCAGCTAAACGTCATATCTTCTCAGGAGAAAATTCTTCTGAGATGGAAAGATATGAAGATCTTCTGTAGGTATCATTGATGGTCGGTGACTAACAGTAGAATCGTGGGTACGCGTTCTGTCCTATTTAAGACTCGTCAGCTGGATGTAACTCTTACCCAGTGAGTGACTTTTTTCCTACTGAGACTCAAACCCATTACCCATCGCTTCAAATACCAAAGTATTATTTAATAGTTCACTGTAGGATGACAGCCACCTTTTCTTCGGCGGGTATACTATAGTTTTGACCTTACAGCTTGTAAGTCTCCGTCACTGATTGGACTGAATTGATTAGGTCGTTTTTGGTATATGAACTACTATGAAGATTCCTTAGTATCGCCGGTATTTTAACTTTTGATAATAATGAAGGATAGTGGCTAGCGGTAGAATCCAGGCCGCATGTTTCGTGTTACTATGGTTTCGTCAACCAGTTGTACCACTGCTATTCACAACTTAGTCGGTTATAACAATAAATACTCAGGTAATATCAAGGTAACTGCATAACAGCTCACATGCCAACAGAGATAGATCAGTTTTGTCCAGTGAAACAATGGAGATATACAAATACCAACAAATACTAATTTTTTACCACAGGTAAAGAAAGATAAATTTATTAGCTGTTTAATTCTGAGAAGACAACAGCTCGAAAAAAGTGCCCATTCACGGAATAATTTAGTTCAGATGTGGAAATAAGGTATTCTTAATACAAGCATCGTAGTCTTGTTCAAAAATTCCAAAGTAGCAGTTAGAAATGATTCACACCATCATAAATTTGTCACTAGATTTTTGAAGTCAGTAGGAAGACGAATTATCATCGAACTAAGTAGTGTAAAATAAGGCTCCAGAACTTTTTTACTGCAATTGATTCACAGGTTTTCATTTCATCGTGAATTTCGGTTAACTACAAGTTTGACATCATCAAGAAGTAATGCAGATTATCGTTTAAAACGTAACTACTCCCTTAGTTCTTCCACCCATTTATATACTTACCCGATAACACTGAGTGTCCTTGATTGTTCTGTCTGAATGACTTTCTGCAGCCAATTGACCTCGATTACCTTTAACATAATCATCATTGTCAAGATTATAATCCAGATGAGCTTCATCTAAGCCACAGTAAATATGCTCAACGATTTCTTTAATCACCTTTTGGTTGTTAGGGTATATTTCTTTTATGATATTACCCAATAATGAACTGTATTGCATTTTATGCAAAGCACTCTGAATGTAGTATAGATCAGATGCTGGTGACTCAGTCCATCCAACCATTAAATCTGTATTCATGAATAAACTTGTCTCTATAGCAGGGATATTTACTGTCGAATACTTCAGCTCACTGACTGTATCAGAAAACTGATTCTCATTCCATTGTTTAGGTTGTTGCGAATAAGTATACGAACTTCGTGACAGATTTTTTGATTCATTATTATTGTTGTTATAATAATGTTGACCATCACTGTTATGTAACAGATAACTGGGAAACAAATGTTTAGATATAACTGGTCCAAAACGTGTTGTAACAAGGGGATGTGATAAATTGTTTTGTAAATTTATCAACAGTTCAACCGATGAATTTTTCAATTTCTGGAATAGAAGTCTTATCAATTGTCTAGGTATTCCACTAGTTTTAAAAGTGGTACTATTACCGTTAATCGAAGAATCGCTTATTTGTTGTATTGTACTGCTTAAGTTTTTAAATGGATCCAAATTTTGATTTTGTGCAAATAAGGACTTTTGTTTGTTTACATAATCATTGTTTTGATTCTCATTTTGGTTGACCTGGTGGGTAGATAAATTGTTTTTAAAATTTTCCATCGTTATATTAAAATGTTTCATCAGTTCAGCTAAAATGGATGAAGTATGATGTGATGTTGCCCATAAGGCGAAACCAGATCCATTCAGTAGAATTATTCGTTTAATACCATGCCTAGAAGTACCTACATGAAAAAATGTGGTCGAAAAACTTGGTAAGCTTAACAAATTAATCTATCTCTGAGGTTATAAAGCTTCAAATTTTTGAAAAACGCAGTTGAAAACATTCTTATCGTATTTATAATGTTCAAGATGCTTCAAAAAGCCAAACCTCATCAAGGCATCTGCTCATTTCCTTTATTCATGTGTATAACTCCTAAATCACGTGTAGTTTTGAGCATTGGACAAATAAATGTGCATACTGTTTGAAATTTAGTTTTACTATGCTAATGTTTAGACGTCTTCTCATGGGACGAGGTTTGACGCCGTGATCCATGGGGTGAAGGTTGACTTCCTAAGCCAATTAGTCAACATATCTACTTGTGGAGGTGGTGCATAACAATCAAGAATGACTACTGAAATCAGTAGAGTAGAATTAGTGCCTATAATAACGGTACTAAATTTTTATCTCATAGGGTATGTCAAGATAATAAGATTTAAACAGGAGGAAAACGGTATTTATTCATTCAGCTGTGAACTACATTACTCACACAAGTTAACGGGATCATCTATTTGGCTATAATGTTGGTGTCTTACTAATATATTCAATATCCAATGTATAAAGGCCGTTTGATGTACCAAGTCCATACCTTACTTTCATAATGTTCACTCTTAAGAGTTGATAGTTATAATTTCAATTTTCGCTGCATCTTAAGGAGTACCTAGTCATTTTCTAAATTTGTGAAACATTAAGCTGAGAAATTTGTTGTGGAATGCTTGATGCTAGAAATTACGTTCACGACTTCATGACTGTTTTTAGTCCTGAACATTGAACTCCAGAGTAAGAAAAAGCTGACTAATAATATAAACTGTTTGAACGTTATTTGTTGTCAATAATGCCCTTCAGCGTTATGGATACCATATAATAATAATAATAATGATAATAGTAATAATAACAATAATAATAATAATGTATTTGCTTTATTCTGCACCATAGTTCTGTTTACCCTGCAGAATTCTCAGCATGTGTTATTACATCAATTTACTCATAGTACAACATTTTTAAAACATTAAAAATGGTTCTGTTTGATAATATATAATAAAGAATTACGAATTACATGATTTTGAAATGTGTAATGACTTCAGGCATAGAATAACTATTCGCTATTACACAGTTGATTGAAATGATTATGTCTAACAAGATTTTCTGCACACAATAAGGTATGGTTGAATTTTTGTATGTCATTGTGCGCGCATAGAGTTTAACATATTTGCTTCATGTCTTCTTATATGACAGACATAGAGAGAGGTGCAGATGCAGAGTATGCTTGTCATCAGATAATACATTTTAGCCAGTAGTCTACAAGAGTTCAGATTCCTATCTACTAATGCATTTATCAGCTAGGTTGGGGTTGTGCTACTTGCTCTACTAATAGCCTTCAAAATCCTACGCAATACAACCTAGTCGTTTTTCCGAAAAGAATAAGGAGGAAAGATAAATAATTACATACCAAACACAGGAATTAATGAAACGTATGAGTAGAGGCTTAGTTATGCCAAACAGTCTGAATTTCCTGATATAAAAGGTCAAGCTAAGGATTTTCCTAGAAATCAGTAGGATATGAGAGGACCAAGAAAGATTTAAAAAAAGCGTAAGGCAAGATAGACCATATCCTCCGTAACAGAGCCATCTATAAGACACAAGTCATGGGACGGAATCAATGTGCAAAGGTCTTTTTCATGTCTTAAGCTAAAACTAACCATCTGACATTTAGAGGAATTGAGTGTGAGGCCATTTAAGGAAGACTAGAAACCAATTTCTTTTAAGAACTTGTTAAACTGGGATTATTCAGTAGAGGAGATAATCGACATGGATACTGCTAGGTCATCAAAATAATTAACAAAGTTAGCTTCAGGTGAGGCTGGTAAGTCATGCAAACAAAACGAGAAAAGGAAAGTAGAAAGAACAGCACCTTCAAGTTCACTGGCTTCACTAAGTAACTAAGTAGAGCATTCCCCTCTATACAGAATGTACTGTCTTCTCTTAGAAAAATATAAATCAAGTCAGTTTACAATTCAGGCAAGTACTGGCAAGCTATGGTCAAAGTATCGTTAAGCCTATTAGCCATTTACTTGGTATATCACTATGATAACCATTAATGAGAGAATTTAATATTTCATGTTTTCGAATAGTCAGTGAGTGACTAATAGATTGTTTAGGTAGTTATACGATCATTCTATCACCTGATTCTATTGCTCTTCATTTCATGTAATATTGTGGGTATTTACTGCTGAAATGAAACGTCTACCCGGTACTTCTGCCTTCTTTTGTAATAGTTTTCTTGTTACTTTCAACTCATAATGAAAACTACGCACATATGATTCAGCTCCTTACAAACCACTTAAATGAGTATCTCTTTAACATAACAGCAAGAATTGAGCGCTGCAGTAGCTTGCAATTTCGGATTGTTTGTAAGTATCCATACTATGGTGATATAACTACGGACAAAAATCTTTGTGTAAAACGTTGTCCAATTAATAATACTCATTCACAGTCTGATACGTCCAATGGACAAACCAAGGTAAATATTGTTTAAATCAAGAGCAAACAACACTTTTAGCGGAATAGCTCGGATTCATTTTGTCTCTGGGTTTCTCATCAGCTGCTTACGACCTAAAACAATCTGAGCATAAACTTGTACAAACCTTCCAGTTGGAGTGACATGAGTTGGAGAAGTTTTGAAGACCTGAGAGCACTGGATGGTGGTTTCATCCATAAAATGCTTACAAAACTCCATACTGAATTGCACAAGTTGTATCTGTATGTATGAGAACTAATGGTGAGTTTGCAAATGTATAGGAAGATACAACGAATATATTAGAGAGGAAGTTCAACAAAAAGTGAAGGAGACAAATTTATTCTTTGTATTCAGAACGTTTACATAGAATAAATCTAAGGAAAGTCAAAGGATTTAGGTTAGCTAAGAAAATAAGATGAACAGAAGTGAGACTGTAAGAAAAAGGGGGTGGAATGGAATAGTATTACAGGTTTATGAGTCTATAATGATACTCAAAACATCATCAGCATTATCGAAACCAACGTAGGACCAGGTATTACCACGTACCGACCCAAGTTGCTACACCTCATCAGCACATCAAGTAAATAGGCAATAAAAGTGAAGATGAAAAAAGGAAGTAGAAAGTAGTAAAAAAAGAGAGGCGAGGAATGAGGAAATGAGGAGGTTCGGTATAATCTTAAGATGAGGACAATGTGTGCATGCATCTGTGCCACTAACATCGGTTACAAGCCATACCTCCTAGAGTCTCCAACCACTGGTTTCTCTTTTCCCACTAACCCCAACTGATTATTCTGCATCACCATACACGGTCCAAACGAACAGCCACGGGATTCATGCACTGATACCACTTTTTAGTCTGACCACTCCGAGCCTTTTCCCAGCCTGAACCTACTTCGGTCACCATTGTTCGATGAGGCAGACGGTAGGTAGACATACATAGACATGTCCCAGCCATCTCAGTCGATGAAAGTTCACAACCACATCAATTGACGCACCTTCATTGCATAAATCTCTACGTCTGGCTTCTGAGTTACTCACGTGGTGACACCACGAAACACGGCCTATGCTGCGAAGGTGGCGGTGATCAAATACCCGAAGTCTTCTCATGTTTTTAATCTCCATGTTTCACAGCCATACATTAGAAGAGAGTCGACTGATGCACAGTACACTCGAACTTTAGTAGACAATCAGATATCACGATGGCGCCATAGATGGAGTAAGTTGGTAGAAGCTAACCACTTCACTCTCTATCGTTATGCGAGGCACCGTTGAAGACCAGTGCTGGAGCAACAATTTGCATTTGGATGGTGAGAAACGCATCCTAAACATTTTCAAATTGTCACTCAATGTGACCAGAAGACTCTGCTCCTTGTCAGCCTCTTCACTTAACAGGACTATGTGATCTGTATATTCTAGGTCCACCTAAAAATTTTCTGTGATTAAGTCAACCACTGTGTAATCGGACGATGATAGGAAAACCTCCATAAGAAGGTCTAGGATTAAATTGAATAAGAAGGGAGAAAGTGGACATCCTGAACGGAGATCACTTGACGTATGCAGCTCACCCGACATCTCACCATAGGTTCTAACACGCCCATTGGTGATGTACTTATTCGGTCGCCCTTCCAGTGAGAGACACTGCTATAAGACTTCTCGATCGACAGGGTCGAATACCGCCTTCAGGTCAAGTAATGAAGCCATTGTTGGGCGTGGGTAAGCGTGCCTGTGTTCCAGAACCTGGCGGAGTGTGAATACTTGGTCGATGCACCCACGACTATGTCTGAAGCCTTCCTGGTTTTCTTGAGTGTGTTGTTCCCGAACTCCACTCAGGCGTCATCATTGTGATAACCAACAGGTAGTCACAGATTCATATATGTTTCTTTCTGAATGCATAAATTCTGTATTCATTGTTATAACTACCGCTTCAGTGAAACGCAACAAATTTCATTTTACCTATTTTTCAACCACTTTTAATGATTTCTGAGTACCAACTTTGTGTTCACTACCACTGAGGTGATACGTAACTGCTCTGCTGAAGACGTTTTCTCGCCTCAGCTGCAAATTCCTTGGAATACGCTTCGATATATAGTCACAAAGCCTTCTTTTCATTCGTCCAGTGTATGTAATTTAGCGCATACATTCAAATCGGTATGCTTGATTGAAAGCAACATGAAAAAGCAACTTGCCAATGCTTGGTTGTCTCAGTTATATCACAGTTATCTCTACTTTAGGCCGATAATTCTCCATCTAACTGACTGAAGTATGCCGGCATTTTGCATATAGTAGTGTTGTAGGCAGCTGATGATAAACTTCGAAATAAAATGGACCCATGCTATTCCTCTTAGACCGTTGTTCTTGCTCAGCTTTAACTTATCAGAGAAGCCTTTATATTTAGGAAACATCTTATTCTTGATAAATATTCATGAAAACTTCACTAATTAATTTCTCAATTTAGCATCTATGGTTGCGTATTTAACATTATATATACATTATATAAATAATTTTCAGGAAGTGGTATGCCGAAGAAGCGAAACTTGACATCAATGAGGAAAGTTGGTGAACTTTAAAGTACATCGATTCGGAGACCATCATATCCTGCATAAATAAAATTAGCATATTTTTTAAAAATCTTACTGTAAATAAACTTGGAAAATGGAGCTGAATTTCACCATTGAGGATTATTTGTCTTTTACCTATGGATTAGCGAATTTTAAGACCATATATCATAAGGTAGACGAACTGTATGATTAAATATACTACTGAACAACTTTAATAGTCCAGAAACACTAAATAGCTGTTTCGCTTATTTGGGCTCGTGTTCATCAGTGTTATATCTAAACAAATATAGCTGTTTTCAACCTGGCTAGCTGGCTTGCATGGCTAATTACTTATGAACTAGTTGACTGTGTGAAATCAGTTTATTATTATTCATGGAAGTGGTAGTCCTGTAGTTCTTTCAACCCATCTATTGAAGTATTGTACCAAATACTTTTACTTTAAATGTCAGTAATCGTATTCCCTAAGTATATTATACTTTTGTATTATTATATTTTGTCACTGAGGTCTCAACTCAGATTTTATAGGAATAGGTAATCATAAACTATGATACCTTAAATTTAGGTTAATTCGTTAACTAATTAGCTCAAATAAATAAAATGAAAAAAGTAATATTATTTAGTCTTACAGCAACAATAACCTGACAATTAATGCAAACTATTATCAGCCTCATTCAACAACTATATGAAGACACCACATGCCAAGCAATTCACAATGGGAAGCTCAGTCATGCCTTTGCAATGAAGTGAAGACAGGAGTGAAACAAGGCTGCCACCTACTATCACCGACCATCTTCCTGATTGTGGTCGACTGGATCATGCAGCAAACAGTGAGGAGAGAGAAGAGGGGGATACGCTGGCTGGACCACGGAAAAGAACCTAGAAGACTTGGATTTCGCCCAACATGAACTGTGTCTGATATCACACAAACTTGGAAGTCTACAAGTGAAAACTAACAAGTTGATAGAAGAGGTAGGGCAGGCAGCGAAGACTCGAGGGACTTCGAGTGAATATAGAGAAGACAGAGGTGATGAGGATACCCAACCAACAACAACACCAACAACAACAAGCTCCAATCACCATCAATAGGAGAAACTTAAAGGAAGTAGCCTCCTTCACCCATCAAGGAAGCACTGTTTCAACTACAGGCGGCACAGACGAGGAAGTCAAAGCCAGCCAGCATCAGAAAAGCAAGACAGACATTCATTAACCTGAAACTAGTGTGGAAATCTACTGCACTGCACTCAGCATGTGGAACAACATCCGGATTTTGAACACCAACGTTAAATCAGTGCTTCCATGTGATGGTTGAGAGACTCGGCACGTTACGGAAGGGATTTCCAACAAACTACAGACATCCACCAACAACTGCCTACACTGGCTCGGTACCGAAGATCAGATCAGATCAGATGGCCAGAATAGTGAGAATAAGCAACAAGGAACTCTGGCTGGTGACAGACCAAACAAGAACCTATCGCAGAACAAATATGCAGTGGAAGGAAATGGAGATGGATTGTGCATTTACTGAGAAGGCCTACTGGGGACATCACGTGTCAGGCCAGGCCGCTGATTGGAACCCAGATGGGAAGCGACGAGTTGGGCGTTGGTGCCGAGGGTGACATGGAGGAGATGGTGTGAGGAGGAAATGAGAGCTTGTGGGCAGTCGTGGAGGCAGGCTGAAAAGATTTCAGAGAACCTAGTGGAATGAAGATGAGCTACCGAAGCCCTATGTTCCATTAGGAACCCAAGGGACAAATAATAATAATACCTCTTTACTTTGAAGGACAATCTCTCAGGAGACAACTGGTTTCAGACACGCTTTGCTAACAAGTGCCAACAAGCTTGAAACCTAGATCCAGGGTATCCTAGGGATTGCTTTCAACGAAATCAACCTCAATGAAATAGAACCGATATGGTCATTCCCCTTGATTAGTGACCAAATTAAAAACGATCTATAGAACTCTGTTAGGACTTTGGTTTAGACAATGTGAAACTGGTTTTTCTGTAGGGACGATTCATTTCACACAATAAATCACTTTACCTTGTGACATTTTTGATAAGGCAAACAAATGCACAAGAGCAGCTCCATAACCATAACCAATTAGCGTAATTTCATTTGGATCACCATTGAAACTTTCAATATTTGTTTTAATCCACATAATAGCTCCATGCAAATCATAAAGCGCAAAATTTCCATTGATTCCATCATTGTTTGTAGATAGGAAACCTTGAGACAGTTGTTAAAACAAAAGATGCATATGATACAGGCGGGAAATACGATTTTTACTCATTTTATCAATTAGACATTTTGAAATTATATCAAATTACATGATATTGTGTCATGGTATTGAAGGCGAAGTGAACTGTATAAGGAGATCGGTTACTGAAAAGTAATCTATGTAGCTGTGAAATACCTAGTCGACAATACTGTTCAAAGTCTAAGCATCATATCTACAATGTGTTGTAACCACAACACTCTGGTGTACTGTATTTTTATATCAAAAGTTAGGTGTTGATTGAAAGTGTTGAATTACTTGGCTTGGTAGGCATTTCATAAACCTGATAAATGGACTTTGGTTAATCGTAAGAACTAAAGACCCGCTAATTAGATTGGTTACTCTCTTTGGAGCAATTTATGTGCGTAGTTCAGTTTCATATATTATTCATTCAGGGCTTAAGTGATGTAGATTTGAGTAAGGGAGGGTACACTAGTTTCTTCATAGTTACAGATTTATTTTAGGTGCAAGTTCTGAAGAAGAAGTAACACCAAAATCATGGTAGTTTTGATTATTTTTCTTGAGAATGACATTTTAGCTTGGTCATCATTATATAAGGTTGTTTAATGTAGATATCAAATATAATATGAAGTTCAGCAACCTAGTAAATGTTTATATTTTAAGCTAAAAGTCACACTTTAAATATGAGTATTTTTGATATTACGTAGTAACCTAAGCAAGTGCAAAAGAAAAGTGTAAAATGAACGCTGAAATCATCGCCTAAAAGTTCTAAACCCACCCCCAACGAACAGCTTCATCACTCGAAGGTATAAAACTGCTACTGGGAAATGAACCTGCACAAAAAGATCTCTTTTATATACCGTTTTATATGAATTAGTTATTGTTTTTCGCTTACACCTCCGAAACTGTTGTTTTTATGGAATGAAATTTTGATGTTTGCCTTAGCATCATCTACATTATTGCTTCAAGAAACCAACTAGTAAATCTTTCTAAATATCTTAACGGGTACAGTCTTAAGTGTAGCTTGTCCATCTCCGGCGTCGATTGAATCGTATTCGTTGGTATGTGATTTCCTCAACAGACACCCTGATATCGCCAGTATTTTCAATTTCTATACTATTAATGGTTATTAACTAGCATTGGAATTCAGGAAGCCTGTTTTGTTTTACTTAGGACCCATAAATTGAACTTACCTTCCATCCAATGGATGATGCTGTTCCCACCAACATTTTAACCCAGGACCAATCGCTTCAATCACTTGAACGTTATCCAATAGGCCACTGAGTCACGATATTCACTCATTTTAATTCAGTTCAATCAACGATGGAGATACACCAGCTGTAACAACAAATATTATATTTTACTCATCTTATAAGGAGTAGCTGTCATGACGCAGTGGTCTAGTGAGTAGTGCTCTGGAGTTCGACTGGCCTGAGTTCGAGTATTAGTGAGAGCGACATCACTCACTGGTAAGGAGGTACATCCACTTGACGAGTACCAAATAGGACGAAACACCCGTCTTAGATTTCACTGCTAATAATTGTACGTCATCAATCCTAACAGACATTTGTCACACACATTTTTAAATCAAAAGGAGTAAGCCAGTCATTTGTGTACAATACTTACACTGACTAGTACATTCGGGAAGCAACTAGGAAACTTCAAAGTGCTTTTAATCTCATATTTAGGTACTTGAACATTATATAAGTCTGAATTCGGTGAATTATAACGCTTTGCATCTTTATATCAAACTAAAAAGTTTTATTATATGAATACTGAAGTTTTAATTACCTAAGTGTTACATAATATCAGATGTATAAAAGTGTTTGAGATTTAATAATGTGGTGGAATTATAACTGAAGTTGAAATGAAAATTCGAATCGTGTCAAAATCTGGAACAGTGGTTTTGTGCTTTCCAGCCAGTGCCTTATCAGCTAAACCAGGACAGTAATCTACCAAACAGGTCTCCAATCTGATTTTGATCACTGATGACCCTGTCCCACTATAGTTGAATGAGTGACAAGTAAGTATCCGTTCCTTATTCATTCACCTCATCATAACAAAAGGATCAGTTTGCCAAACCATGATTACTCCAGATAGTCTCGCCCACAAGTGAAATGTGTGTTCAGTCGGCGAGTAGCCTGTTTTGTTAGAAAATAAGCCAAGATAGCAGATATATCGTAACCAGTTATTTCGTCACCAAAAGTGTCCAGTTTTTACTCAGTGCAGAAATATATTGATCGAAAGATGGAGTAGAAAAAAGATATGCACCATCTCCCTGACCTGTTGACTTTTTTATAGTTTATTTGGAATTTAGTAACTCTAAATAAACTGTCGATTTTCTCAGGGTCTTCAAACAAATTAAGGATGCCATCTTACTGTTTAAGGTGAAAGACCTTAATTGAATAAAGTTCCACTAATGCTTATCCATCTGTTAGTTTTACCTTTAAAGTCAGGACAGTATGTAAACTGACCTTCCTATGTGTCTAAACGTCAAAGAAAAGTAACGAATCACTTCAGAAATCACTTCACTTATAACCTTAATCAAATGAGTATTTAATTCCCTTTTATAATTTTAGCCATCCAAGAAGAAAAAAGAATCTTATTAAACTCTCTCATTATAAAAATTTATCGTGTATACTCGTAGGATACTTTGAAAAGATAATTGGGATAGTGTGCAAAACTCTCTCTCGAAATAGATATTCAAGCTTATTTACTGACAAAAATACAGAAAGTAAGCCTAATATCCCATACCATTCAACTGTACCTATGAAAGATATTTAGAGTTATGCACTTGTTAAAGTTCTACAATCTTGTCAAGCAAAAAGAATATTGAAAAACATTCTTTATCGCATCTCTGTATCTTAATTGCTCCAAAAACATTCATAAACTTGCCGACTTCTACATTATATTATTTTTTATTCGGATTTATAGTACCTGGCAATAACGTTTGACTCTTGTTGGGATACTGCTTGATATTTCCGAACTACAGTCTAACAAAACAGTTGGGATTATAAATTGCGAAAACAGTCATACTGGTATCTTTTACACATATAAAATAATCAACCAATTAACAGAGTGGCAATCACTGGTCATTAGAAGACAACTGGAATAGAAAAACAATTTTAAAGTATAGTGTAAACATTCGTTGACTAAATTTATCACAGCGGTGGAGTCCTTTAGAGAAGTCAGTAAATATCTAGACTCTCAATTCAATGATAACTATTTTAAACTCATCTTGGACACTGGATGAAGTACATTTACACTCTCAGTGAAGCATGATTTCTAACCGATAAGCATATACAAATTAAAGGTGGTAACGACAATATCTCATTAGGCACTCACTCAAGTTTCTGAAATCCACTTTAGTGCATTACTTCAGTCTTACTTTTCGTTTCTTCGCCATATTGCTTTACCATTCATCTTCAATATTCTACAAGTATTTGTTCGGTTGATTATGGAAGTGGCCATCAAAATTACTTCAAATATACTATCTTACGATATTTTTATTGAACAATTTTACTGCCATACTTTTACCAACTTAAGTCTCAACTTTTAAAAATGTTAATATGCTGATATATCTTTGACTCCATTGCTAGCTTGAATGCAACGGAAAACACGGGATTTACCGTATTGTAAAAACGTATTCATTTTGACTGTCTTCAAATACACAAAGCTAACCAGACAAACTGAATTTTAACAGCTGTTTAAATGTGTTCCTAAGTTAATAATCCATTTTACAAACGTAAACCAACGTCTACATTGCTGAATGATGGTGTACCTTTGAGACGTAGGCTGCTCAACAATCCTGGTACACAAACGTCTTCCTGTTCTTCCTACGTACTTTCTACGGCATGCTCATGTGAACTGATAAATACAATTGGAGTTAACGAGAGTTAAAACTTTATCTAGTTTGAATTTTGTAATCCCCTATGTTGTTTTATGTAGTGAGACAAGTTTTGCACCCAGATAGGTCCTGAACAGTACACTCCTAATTCATCTGTTCATCCTTGTTGCAACATCATCTCCAACTATATCAGTCCAAATATACAAGGCGTAGCATCACTTAGGAAGAAGACAAGATCGGCTGTCTAGCAGGATTGCTGAGCATCTGTCAAAAAGTCTATGTGTTAGATATCCACTGTCACTCAACAATCCAATAGTTTATCGCCTATTCGATCTGGGATATCGTGTAGATACAAGGAAATGAACTTACCCAGTATACCTAAACGGTAATTTAAAGTGATACCGATTGCATCACTATAACTGGCTAACACGGACAAATCATATGCGTTACCACTTCCGAACTCGTATGATTCACCGTGTACAAACAGAAATACTGGTCTTCGAAACGATTTTCTTAGTTCACCTATGGAAAAAATGAGAAAAGAACACAAAAAGAGAACTTATTTGAAACTAGTTTACACCGGAAAATGTTATCAGTTGTACAGTTAATGTAAACTATGGATTAATTATTCTGGGACTACTTTTTATAACATTTCAAGAAAGTGAATAATCTCGGCACATTCACTCCATTCTGAGTAAATAATTATTCTTGTCATTTCCTCTTCAGCGATGGTGTACACAGTATACCGGATTTTTGAGAGTTCCTACAAGTGTTAGATAATTCACTTCCGACGTTAGAATGACAATTAAGTGTTCAGTGGAAAATTGCTTAAAATGATAATCGATTCAAATCAGAAATTGGCGTCAGATCATTAGAATTTATATTCTTTTGAAAATTACTTAATTTAACTCATTTTTAGCGTTTAAACTTTGAAAGGTGTTGCTTTGCTTATGCCTACTGCAAAAGGAGAATAATCAGGTTTTCTAAAATGAAAGTTCTAAGACAGCGGCAAGTGTTCCGAAGAAATAATCTGTTTAGCATCATGATGTAAGATTTCGTTTATGCCTAATCAATAAAAAATTCCCGCCGTTTTCTTCAAAGTTTATGTCAAAGGAAATTACCTTGTAAAGAACTAAACATACTGGACATTATACTAATAATAAACGGCTGATATATATATATATATATATATATATATATATATATATATATATATATATATATATATATATAAAACACTAGGCTGTATTCATTGCTTGTAAAGAAACTCAAGTGTATCAAGTCAGATATTTTTTGAAATGTTAATGTTGTAATAATATATGGGACATAAGGCTCATAACTGCCGAAGGACTACGGTATACGGGCAACATCACTAAGGAACCACTAACAGTTCACCTCTTCAAACTAACTCTACAGTGGGCTGAAGTAACTGAAATCTGATCATTCGAATTTTATATGGTGCATAAAAGTCACCCCTTAATACAAGGTGTTCAAACCCGATTTGTACATCAAAGGCTAGAGGAATCATATGCTGTTGAGACTGCATTTGAGTCAAACAGTCAAATTGTTCTTCAACATGATGGATGACTTGGAATCAATGAAATCCAGTAGCTTCAGAGAAGCACAAATAATGACTGATGATAATCTAGTTGTCAAACCTCAATTTTGACTGAAGTCGACGGTTTGCACTTCTAAAGAGTTTCAAATTGGGGCGTCTAACGGCGCGAGATTCACATTTATTCCATGGTTTAAGAAAACCACAATCTGTCATTCTTTATGGTTTAGTTAGCTTAAGTGATTTGTTACGGCTAAAACATTTCAAGAGTAGCATACCTCAACTTATCCATGTAACATTTTCTCTTGATCTTTAATAGTCCTATCTGGTAACAAACTTTTGGTACGTTCGAATTTTATTATTTTTAACGAGCAGTATTCTACGAATACCATCAGATTTCATTTGGCAGTTCATGGAATCCTGGCTTTATATACAGAGATCATGAAACTATCCCCCACAACTTTTCATGACACAGTAAGTTCAACAGTAGTTAAGTCAAGTTACTTGATAGAAATATCAATCCAGCTATTGACTGAAGAGATTCGTTATACAGTCTTATTTACATTAAATTAAAATGGAGTTTCGCAGTCATGAATTCATATATGTTAGACAAATTCCATGATAATTACGTCAATCCCTTATTGATCAAGAGTAAATATCGTCGGTTAAAAACAAATAGAATCATTCAATGTCCAATGATTCTGCCCTTTTTTAACACAATTTTACAAAAAATGGGGGAACTACTTGACAAATATATAAATATAAGTGGCTGGTGGTTTCGTACTTAGACTACTTATTTGTTTTGTCTTCAAAATACAGGTTTTAGACAAATCCAAATACTTTAAAGAAGTATTTATAATCTTTGAGTGAATAAGTGATTGATTTGTTTTAATATTGAACTTCTGATAATTATTTCTAATGGAAACGTCTAATGTCATTAAACTGGCTATAGACACAAAACTTCAGTATGAAGAAAAACACTAAGCGTTTTAATAGCATATCACTCCTTCTTGTATTGACCAAAAATTTTGTGATACCAACGAAATGTGTGACACTTAAAAAATTTCACACTTATGATTCTCTAGGTGGTTCGGTTTGCTTAGAGGAGATGAAAATGAAATGCTTTACTACAGTATTACCATGAACAAATACGTTATTTACTAATGATATGTAGAATTTTTAGGAATAGCTGCTTATCTGATACACTTTTAACTATGTGCTAACATCCTGGTAGATGCACCATCATACAGTTCTGAATCATGGAATTAACCTTACCCCCCTAAATATTTTCTATCTTCTACATTAGTGTCAATATTTTGATAGAATTACCGAAATAAGAGTTGATCTCAGGATAAAACTGAATTAACGGACAACGAATAATGTGGAAGTCGAGTATTTTTGTGATTAAACCGAAAACTGATCCATATAGTGAAGTTCGATATTTCAAGATGTTCTAGACGTCCACAGCTAAATTGTTCCAAAGTACAGCAATATAACTGTCCAGTATCCCCAGTTTTTCAATGAAGTCATTCCATGAATAAAACTGCCTTGATACCTACCATTTTCAACAAACCACCAATTACTACTAGCCACTTTATTGTCGCTAAGGTAACTCATTTCTAAAGATATGAGGATTTGCTAATTTTCGCCAAATTCAACTGATTACATTCAGGTAAATAAAAACCGACTTCCCTAAAATGCAAGCAATTAAATATACATTAGTGAAATGTGTAAGTGGAGTGAAGATTTGTAGCAAAAGGATGAGGACTGACAATTTTCTGTTATTCAGTCAGTTATGATACTAGATAGCTTTTTCAGATAGTGCAAAACCTGTACAACTTCGAAGCCAACAAACTGTGAATTTTATGATATTCCAGTAAAATGGCTATGAACAAGCAAAATAATACGGAATCACCATACAGATCAATGAGAATAAGTTAAAAATGCAAAAAAAACTAGTGGAAATTAATCGTTTTGTTTAAGCTAAGTTTAAAAGATCATATAACTAAGCTGATGAAACTCATTTACGTCACCGTGCATGCCTCAGCAAAATTAATATCATAATAATCGACATGCATTTTTGAAATCAGCCTACCGTTACACCTTACTTGTAGGATGTACTCTTGATAAGACATAAAAAAATACTTCACTGTTTTATCATATCAGTGCTGATAAAGTTAGTTTACCTGGCTAAGAAAGGTTCTTGATCAAATACTCAATCCAGAAGTTCATCAAATAAGTTTCTTCACTTGGAACTGTAAATTATTTTTAGCAAAAATATGACACTAAAGTTTTTGAAGCAAATTATTGAGAAACCTAAAGTTGTTTTTTCATCGATAAAAAGTTCGTTAAGTCATAATAATAGTTAATTTCCCTTCGTAAATATTCTAAATTCAATATACAGAGCATAAATTGAATTTAATTATCTGTCCGACAGAATATGATTTTAGGCAGTGTAGAAGATATGCTTTTTAATGACTGTCAACAAACGCGGGAAATTAATAACCATTAGCCCCTAAAGACTGTTCAATATTCAACAGCCGTGCTTAGATACTGAGTTGACGTGCTACTGATAATGTTTCGTACCTTTTGTTAAGTGATAATATAGAATAATTATCATTCGATGCTATCAGTGGATATTTCAACTTATATTTGACTTGATTTATCCCACAAGTCTGATAAATTTAAAAAATGTTTGCAACACGAAATGATATCGGCAGAGAACTGACAGTCCTTCATTAGGTAGTGATTGCCGAGTTTCAAGAAGTCCCAAACTAGAAAGAAACAGTCATCTAGAATTCTTATTTGTTTCATAATTTTTTGCGCTAACATCGCTGCATGATGAAACCATTTTAAATTTAATCCATTTCTTACAGAATTTTAAAACAGAACTGGAAAGATACTTCAGAAAAGTAAATCTTTAAATTGATCACCAAAATCAGTAGAGAAACCCATCCTAGACTTAAAAAATCATGTAGTTGCTAGTAAATAAAAAAAGGATACTCATGTAAAGCCTTTTTAACTATCCAGGTGATGTTTTATATTCAAAAATAAGTAGGGTAAAACTAAATTAAACTATATTAGCCTTATTGTTTCAAAAAAGAATTCAGTAAAACACCTACTATTTCGTGGTACATAAATATTCAATGTTAAACAGTCTTCTTCTTGATCTCGTAAAAATGGTATTAAACGAATCAGTCGATCTTTGACATGCTTCGGTATACTTTTGTCTTGCACATCAATATGAATCAACTGTTGTGGACACACTGGAGGCAATATACTGTGTTGATGCACACCAGTTGATGATTCATAGAAGAAGGATGCAACAGAATGACTGAAACGATGTAATGCAGGCATTTTATGAAAATTTTCTGTTAATGTGATGTTTATGTTTGTTGGTGATTTATTGTTCTCTTGATTGGGTACACCTAATGATGCATATCTAATTCCATAATAAGCATTGATTGGATTCAGATTAGGTGATTGTAAGTGTAAACTCATTCCAGTCAAACGTTTTCCATCCATTAAAGTGACTACATTTTCATTATCAATATGACCACCATTCCAATTTTTAGCCACAATGATAGTGTCATCAGTATCTTGTTTATTTAAAACAATCTCATTATTTGTATTTCTTTTATCATTTGGAAAGGTGTTAATAGATGTCAGAAGAAATGATTGAATACAGCTGAATAAAACAAACAGTCCGCACATGTCGGCAAATAATAATAATAACAATGAATCAGTATAGGTTATATTAAAGGTGTTCAATTAGACAGATAAATTATATTCATGTAAAAAATTAAATGAATTCAATTGTAGTGATTATTGTAAATAAGTTTCCACTTTTTCGTTATTTGTCAGTTTCTTGTTGAATAAATTAATTTTAATTGGTCAGTTTGAAAAACTACTGTGAAATGATTGGGAAAAATAATTTCAACGTTAATGATTATAGTAGAGTAAATGA